AGTACAACTAGTACTGTGTATATTGTAGTACAACTAGTACTGTGTATATTGTAGTACTAGTACTGTGTATATTGTAGTACAAAGTATATATCATATACCTACTAGTACTGTGTATATTGTAGTACAACTAGTACTGTGTATATTGTAGTACTGTGTATATTGTAGTACAACTAGTACTGTGTATATTGTAGTACAACTAGTACTGTGTATATTGTAGTACAACTAGTACTGTGTATATTGTAGTACAACTAGTACTGTGTATATTGTAGTACAACTAGTACTGTGTATATTGTAGTACTGTGTATACAACTAGTACTGTGTATATTGTAGTACACTGTGTATATTGTAAGTATATATATATTGTACAAAGTATACTAGTACTGTGTATATTGTAGTACAACTAGTACTGTGTATATTGTAGTACAACTAGTACTGTGTATATTGTAGTACAACTAGTACTGTGTATATTGTAGTACTAGTACTGTGTATATTGTATATATAGTATTGTATATTGTAGTACAAAGTGTATATTGTAGTACAACTAGTACTGTGTATATTGTAGTACAACTAGTACTGTGTATATTGTAGTACAACTAGTACTGTGTATATTGTAGTACAACTAGTACTGTGTATATTGTAGTACAAAGTATATATCCTATACCTACTAGTACTGTGTATAGTGTAATACAGAGTGGCAGAAAAGACCGTGTTGTTCCAGACTTTGATTATGTCGGCATCCAAACTTTGGACATGTCAATACCCAATCTGATTATATCGACACACATCCTTTAATCATGTCGACACTCGGGCTTTGATTATGTCGACATCCAGACTTAATTTGTGTTGACACTAAACTTTTGTTTATATCAACATACAGGCTTTGATTATGTCAACACGCAGGCTTTGATTATGTCAACACACAGGCTCTGATTGTGTCGACACCAAGACTTTGATTGTGTCGACACCTAGACTTTGATTATGTCGACACGCAGACTTTAATTGTGTCGATATCCCGACTTAGAGAGCCTCCAAACGGCGAAAAGTGGTAGTTGTACTAGGGAAAGTTATCCATTCTATTCGTCAAACCTGTTGATTCCGATGTCGTGACGTCATCAGATGTTTTCTGTGTTTCCTATAGAGCACCATGAAGTTAAGACATACCAGATGTAGATGTTTATCAGTAGGTAGTTGTGTAACATGCATTCATTTCTTCTCACAATCATTTGTACTTCATATCAGGTTCTTGTATTACATAAGTAGTTTAGCTATGGTAAATATCAGAATGGTAGCTACAGTTACATCCGGGCAAGTGTGCACACAGTCACTTGTACCTCGTCATATTAAAATATAGCAATTATTTAAAGCATACATTATACAATTATCGATTTTCATTTACAACGTTCATATCATTAGTAAAAACAAGTTCATTTCAATCTAGATTATCACAAGGTTATAAAAAAACCTCGCGTCATGGAAATCTCTCTTACTATTTATAGACCAGATATCAGTTTGTGATTATATCCTCGCGTCATGAATTCTCTCTCCAACTGTTTATCCTGTTGTGACGTCATACGGGCAGCGTGAATATTTGCTAACATATCTAGCTGGACTGAAATGGAATTTCCTAAATTAAATATCGAAAGTTGATATTTGGGGGAAATCGATTTCGTGCGATTTCCATAAGAATATAAGTAGATGTTGTTGTAGAATGTTCTTACGAATCATCTTATGAAACCCTAACTTGGGCGAAATACACCTTAAAAATTATCAATTTGGAATGCCATAACCTCTCGTCCTAGCCGTCCAGGGTTCGATTCCCTAAACGGGCATGTGTTTTGCTGTGTTTTCCCAAAACAGTAAGACCCCTCGCGCGTTTGTTATAAGAGTGATTAGCATAGGTTGAAATAAATAAAGTTAAGAAAGCGATATGCGGAACGAGTATACAAAATGTGGACTACAAAATTGAAAGGGACTTTGCTTTGTAAGAATGGGGGTGGGGGGTCTTTGAAAAAAAAAAGTACACAAATGCACGACGACAATATCACTGAGGGCTGGATACTGGTGTAATGGCAAATTACAACTTTATAAACTATGTTATACTTAGTTATACTTACCATTGTCTAATGTAGGTAAAATATGTAACTATTTACATAAACAGAATGCATTACTCTGTGCTTTTTGTTTACCGATTTTTTTCCATTCGTACACACATTTATCAGTAAGCATCCCCCATTTACCACTATTGAGTTTGGCTTTCTAATGAACAGGGATGGAACATCTACATTAATGAATTAATATTCAGTAACTCGTGTATGTTGTGTACAGGCACTGTTTTATATACAGCATAACCTGACTGTCAACTTTATCCCGTCTACTGAAAGGTCGAAAGGTCGAAAGGCCATGAATAGCGGCCGGCAAACCTGTGAAATAAAGTCAACTTTATATATATTGAAATGTTGTTACTTGGTTTACTAAACAAAGACGTTTTGTTTAATGAAAAATATATGAATAAAGCCTTCGACAAAACATCTAAACTTTGAATTAGATTTTGAAATTGATCAAATTTCCAAAATAAATGTACAATAGTTTCCCTTTCAGAGTTAAAGAGGTTGTAGACTTATCTTTCAGCATTTCTTTAAAAAGAAATGAGTTTGTTGTTGAAATATAACGTCAGACTCTATACCTGTAGTTTTCATTGATTGTAAATACAGTTCTTGTATGCTTGACCAGTTTTCATCAGAAAGTTTCTCCGCCGTTTTCTTTGTTCTTAGCTTTCGAAAGTTTTCTTTCTGCTTAAAACTCGTACAATGGTAGAATAGAGCGGGTACAGTTTATGCTTCGCGATATCATAATTTGGTAAACATTGCTGTGATAATTAAACTACATAATTTTCACTCGGATATTGGTTAATTATACTAATATGTAGACATGAACACTTTTTTGATTGATAAAAACCAGGTATACGTATAGTTAATGCTGTCACCATTGCTGTGTTTCAACATATACTAATCCTGTATTGTTGTTATTGAATTAGCCATGTTGAAAAATCACTTTTAATTTTCATTACTCTGTACAGAATAAATCACATACAATGAACTAGATTTGTTTCTTATCTTAATTTTTTTTATACGTATATACAAATGATACGTCTACTGAAGCTATGCATGTGTATGCCTTAAGGAGTTACTTCCCTTCCAAGAGGCCACCAGCCAAGCATCAGATTCGAGATTGTAATTTCGGTTATATATATTCTTTTTAAATGGATCTCCTTCTAGAATCATTATATTATGATATCATAATCAGCATTATTATATCATTTCTATACACAGTGTAACTTACAGAGCTTGGCTGCTGCATCGAGCGCCGAATCACAGCATCGACATGTTTTTTGTTTGTTTGTTTTTTTATATGTAATATCTAAGCAATGCTATCAATATAACAGAAACATTTTGTTCTACATATTGTGTGTAATTTGAAAGCCATCAGCTACAATGACGCATTGGTGTTATAAGAACAGCCAATACCATTATATTGCCCAGGTCTCGGGGATCGTGGTTCCTGCTACCACGGACACTCTGTTTTCTGTTTTAAATAATTGCTATCATTATTTTATAAATTATTTTTGGGATTGTATAACATTCATGATATGCAATTATTCGTTCAATAAAATTACATTTATTCACATTGTGTGGAAAAGAAGTTTAAGAATGAATGAATGAATGAATGAATGAATGAATGAATGAATGAAATTAATTAAAAACTATGTAACATATGGCGATTTCATAACTTAAATTTTCCATCTACATCGATCAAAGATATTGGATAGTGAAGTGATAGAAAATTCCACATACATGTGTAGATATAGAATAATAAATAAGAAAATCAATGAAAAAATCAATAAATCAAAACGACATATATATATACAGTAGGATTAGATCAAATGTATACCTGTAGCCTGCATCGATTTTCTCAATATTAAATATGCATTATTATATTATATATTATCATATTACTTCTTATTTAGACATTGTCTTACAGAGTCTTCTTTCAAACAACCCTTCATTGTAGGAATACATGATATAGTTAATTGAAATCATTACGGTCACTGAATACTTTTTAAAAACCCTGATCATCTGGCATGGACATCGCCATTCCCACATAAACATGTACACGGACTTAAAAATGTGGTCAAACAAAATTTAAAAAACCAAAACTTCATAATGCCCCAATTTTTACACATAGCCCGCCTGATCCTGCACTTTAGATGAAGAAAAACATTTTTAGATATTAAGTTACAATTCCTACATAATTCTTCTTCAAGTGTGACTCTTTATAAATGAGTTAAACCTACCAAGAATACATTGTATATGAGTGCACCAGTAAACCGTCTGCCGGTCTTGCTCAACCCAATACAATATATGAAAAAATATTTTTGCAGTTTGAGATTAAAATGGAATTATATTGTTTTACGTATGTTCATTTAAAAACAACATAAATACACCAAAAACACCATTGTGTCCCGATTCCAAATTCTGCATATAACCCGCCCGATTCTGTCCGATCGTTTACTCGTCTTTCGGTTTGATATTTTCTAGTTAGGATTTGTTCATTTTCTTTCGTTAAAAATAGTTCACAATGTTTCAAAAGGCGATATACATGCAAAATTAACTCATAAATTCATTAAAATGGTACGATTCCGTCATGATTACTGATTTTGTGCGATCTTGTTAGCGATTTACATTTCTGCTCGATCCTGTAAATCGTCTTACCACACTCATATGCATAAAAATGAAAAATACAAAATATGAAAATAAAGTACAACTGGTTTCGTTTCAATTCTTAAGCAAACAATGTTTACTCTCCGCCTTATAATTCCGAAATAAACGATAAAATACATGGTTTATTTTTTTCATATACGGTAATAGTAGGGATTGTATACGTACGGGACAGAGTAGTTACTGGCCTTAGTAAGTAACTCTTCTCTTTAGTGAGAGCAAGTTTAGTTCACGCAAGCGACATCGTGGCGAAGGGAAATCGGTCTACACAACTGTCAAAATGATGCAAATAACAGATTTTCAAAGTAAGGCTCTGTACTTTGGGACGCTGTCCATCACATAAGCACCTATTAGCATCTTGTATTGTTAGAAGAATGACAATTTTACGAAGCTTTTCTATCTAGTATGCCTGCAGGAACTCGTTTCTTGTTAATTAGTATGTATTAGTACAGGACTGTTTACAATATATACAGTAGACCTTCAATGCATTACGTGTCCGTAAGGAAATGCTTAATTGATTTCTCTTAATATGATCACAAAAGTCTTACGTTCTATCAGTTAGATTATATAAATAATCTATCTACTATTTTTATGATGATTGATACAGTACATTTAATATGAAAAAGGCAAAGCCTTGAAGACAACAGCTTTAAATTTACTGAAATAGAGAATAAATCAAACAGAATGTTTGTCACATAATGAAACGCTGAAGTTGACTAATCACCTGATATCATGATATTTTTATGATATTTCACAAAGATACCAAAGATATTTTTTAAAACTCTCACTGTTTGTACTCTGGGTTTGAGATACAAATGTTGATCTTTTTCTGAATCACTGCAATCACAGTGATGAAGAAGTAACCTGGCCTGTCTGCCAGCCTGTTTCATGTTTTATGTAAATTATGCAAAATCAACTCTCAAGTCGGGTATATGTCATTCATAACAAGTACATTTTGGGTACATGTATGGTTGGTTCATTCAGACACTGATGGTCATTTAAATCACCTAGAAAAAAAATACAACCAGAAACTTTTATAGGTGTAATCACAATAAAATACAGTGTTTTCTAAAGAGTCGTGGACCATCATGCATCAGGTCTTTTTGGATAGTTGATTGCTTTCATCTTTGTTACATACTACGTTTACTTTGTTGTCAGTTACAGGCCTTATGGTTGCAGTACATTGATGGTGATGATAAAGCACACTTACCCACTTTATAGGCTTTTAACAAACAACCTATGTAGTTTTAAAACAAGAATTGTAAGAAAGTACTTTTATTTTGAAAATTCCGGATGATAAAAAGTGATTGCATAAGAGGCCTGCATTAATCATTATTTTTTTCTTCCATTCACTACAGAGATAGGTGTTGGACTAACAGGATTTGGAGTGGCGTTCCTGTTCCTTGGTGTCTTATTTTTCTTCGATAAAGGTTTGCTGGCGATTGGAAATGTAAGTTTATGATCAGAATCTTTTACATATGTGCTACAATATATATCAAGTGAATTATAAATATAAGTAAAATAATTGAATTGCATCTAAATTGTTTTTGAAATTATAAGAACATATTTCATATATTTGTGTTGTTAATTTATATGAAGCAAATCTACTGATAACTGAACACACATAAGCAGTCACATGTGCATAATGTTGTTCCACATTGTTTGTTGTGTGTCTTGTCTGTCCAGTATTACTATGAAAAAGTTTCTTGCCCAGAAAAGTTTCCTGCACTTTGGCACATGGCTGTTCCCTGACAATAACATGTAGATAGATATATGGAGATCATTATATGAAACTATAGTTATTTGTAATTATTGGACCTTGTGTGATTGTGGTTGTTAATCACAAATGCAGAAAATTCTTTTAATGGTATTTATTAGATTTTTTGTGAAAATGAAAAAAATCTCACATTTACAGCATATATCACACAACTGATTTAAGAATTTATGCTTTCCAGCCCACCATCATCAGATGGTCCCAAGATTTGCATTGTTTAGTTTTCAGACAGATCTGAAAAGATTGTTTTCCTTGTCCACTAGTTTGTAATTTTCCCTGTCACTGATGGGATTGGGGAAATGACCAGAAGGTGTAGATTTATTGATCTGAGACTGAAAATGTACACTTTTACCATCTTGTGTATTTTTTTATTTATAATCTGTTGACCATTTCATCACACCATTTTCGACTGAAGTGTATGTAGGATTCTGATACAGACAAAAAAATTGGTCATTCCTTACCATCTCCAACACTTCCTACGTCAGTGCTAGAACACTCCACAGTGGTGTTTTGTCTGATCAAGGTGACTGTGCAGTCATCGTAACGTCACACTCTAATCTTCTGGTTATGTTATGAGAACGTCTATTCTATTGTTGATGCTCATGAGTACTGTATAGACTTTTGTCCTGATTTGTTCCAATTATTAAAGTGTATCTCCATTTGTAAAGAAAGAAGCGACAGGTGTGCATTGGTTAAATTGACTGAATTTGTAGTCATTTGTTGGTATGTGTTGTATACATTTACAAGGGTTCGTCATCTTTCCTAGAGACTGGATGATAAAACTATTAATATTTACAATCAGTAGATTCATGAATTATGGAAACAGATCAATTTAGATAGTATCTACATGTGATGAGATTTCTTCTCAATAACTAAGAGGTCAGGGATGATATTATTAGGCCAATGGCATGTTGGGATGAACAGGGCTACTAAGAGTCATCAAATGAATGACCTTGATAAAGGTTATTTGTTTTATTTTTTTTCTTCCTGTTTTGTCTTTCTATTTTATTTTTATACTACCCAGCAACAAAGTTCGGGAGTGGGGGTGGGTGGAGGGAGGGGGGATATATTGGAATCACTTCTGACTAATCTGACTGTCTGGCTGTCCAAACGTCCTGGAAATTGTGTCAAGTGCATCTGACAAAGTGCCAAAGCAATATTTCTCAAACTTAGCTTACGACATCCTTATTATATGAAGTTGTGTCCTTTCACATTTCATGTAGTTTTAGACAACATTTGTTAGAGTTATGCCTTGGAATATTCTGTCAAGTAGATCTAATAAAGTACAGAAGCAATGTTTCTCAAACTACATACCCATGATGTAAAGTTGTTATCTTTCACTTTTCACTGAAACTTGATCAAATGCTACAGCTTATTACAGCCTATAACTTGACATATAAGGTGTTCCAAAACCGTTGCGACAGTTCTAGTTTGCATTATTTAAATGTAACAACATATTTTCTTTATTTCTAAATGGCCATTTATTTTTAGAATTCTTTCTCTGTTTTTGTATTTCAGATTCTCTTCATTTGTGGACTAGCATTTGTGATTGGGTTGGAAAGGACTGTGAAATTTTTCTTTCAAAAACATAAACTAAAAGCAACAGGGTTTTTCATTGGTGGAATAATGGTAGTGCTGATTGGATGGCCAGTGATAGGGATGTGTGTTGAAATGTATGGATTCTTTCTCTTATTCAGGTAAGTCAGTGTTGAATTGAACTAATATGAAGAGTTAATAATAGCTGGTCAATATACGAGATATTTCTTTGTTATCAGTAATGTAGATGTTGTAACACATGTATAGCCTACAAAAATCAGGTTTCCACAGTGACATCATTACTTCATGGCATCTTATGAATTCTGATGTCACCAAAGAATAAAATCTTGATTGGGGATATCGCTATTTAGATTTTGTATCAGTTACGTAAAATCCATCTTTATGTAATCTGGCCTGAAGAGCAAAGTGATCTTATGGCATGGTGTGGCATCAGTCAGCTAAATTCTAGCCCACCATCATCAGATATTGATCAGTTCAAAGTACCCTTCATCCCTAGTCTAGTGTCTGGTGTCTATCTGTCCTTCAACTAACTTTGAAAAGTACTGTATTGATCATGTATGTTCTCCTTGGGCCTTAGTTCAGCATTGTCAGATTTCCAGACTGGTTGGGAAAAGAATTTATCTGAAAGGCAGCCATCGTGGATTCTAACAGCAGTAGTGTGTTATTGCTATTACTGGAAAAGTGTGCAGTAAACTTTGGTTAGTAGGTTCCCTTTTGCCCACACTCACACCCTATAAAAGTTTGGGACTGATGAGTAAAACTGACTGGATAACAGACACCCACCCTTGATTTGGACTACAAGAGTTGCTTAGGGATAATTCTTGTCCAAATTTCATATGTCTAGTCCCCTTGGTCCCTTGTTTTGCCTGTTTGACTTTGCTGCTGAACAGAAAAGCAAAATGGCTGACACCTTGGATTTTGCTGGTGAAGATTATAGAGCTTTTTCTTGAGTGAAATTTTAATGCCTGCATGGATCCAGTAAGGTGGAGGACGGTTTTGGCAGATGCCACATTTGTCAGCCAAGAACATCCCAGATATGCTTTGCTGGGTTCAGATTGGGGTATTTTGCTGACCAATCAAGAGCTTGGACATCGTTCTGCTGTGAGAACGTCTTAGTTACGTGACCATGTGTTGGATGTGGCATTGAAATGGCCATTAACAAGGAGTAGCCTGGTTCGATTTCCACCAGATATGCCACCCCAGATCATCACACTACCCCAAACCAGTTTGTTACACTGGGCTATAAATCAGTTTGATGCGTTCCTTCTGACCACACCATACTTGCTGCCTCCCATCATTGTACATCAAACAAATTCATGACTGATTTGAGAGCAAAGCATTGTTCCAATGCCGTAAGAGCCATTGTTGGTGTTGATGACCTTGATGAAGGCAGTACTTGGGAGGGAATTGCCTAAAGGTGTCGAGGATGGTCTGGCTGATTTCCCGTTGACCTTAGTTCTTTTTAGTTTGCTGTTATGGATGTAGAAAAAAAATCAATCCTAAAGATGCTGCTACATGGACGATGTTGCAGGCACATCCCGTCAGTTTGTTATACCCAAACTGTCTTGCTACCTGTCATGGTTTTTTGCTAGCTTGGAGCATGCTGATACCCTTCTTTGTTTTGACAGATGAAGCGTTGTGTTAATCTAGACAATTTAAAACCAAATAATGATTTTTCAGGTACTAAAGATGTTGATAGAGCACATCAAGCAAATTCAACTGATCAAGTGTTGAGTAAAAATAAGGAATTTGTTTTGTTGTATGAAGCAATCTTGGAATTTCACACATGGCTGATTTCACTGTAAATCTTTGTAACTAATCCAAAGATTCCTACAAAATGCATCAGTATAATCAAAGAGGACCTATTGTATGGCAAGGTAATTTGGTAACATTTTTAAATCATCCGTGTTGAAGGGACCTGAGCACAGAGACTTTCCATTCAAAATCTTTCTTCTCAATATTCTAAAGGTCAAGGGTGCTTATATTTAGCTTGTAGCTTGCTCGGAATGAATGACATTGACCTACTTTCAAATTAGCAGGGGTCAAATATTTTAAATCTTTAAACATCATCTTCAGTAACTAAAATGTCTTGGGTGTTGATATTGGATCTGTGGCATACTGGGATCAAGGACCATCTAGTCTGTTTACAGGATTAACCTTGAAGTACTTTCAAGGTTGTAGGGGTCAGATTTGTTAAGATGTTAAAGCAACTTCTTTTTAATAGCCAAAATGTACTGGGTGCCGATACTGGGTCTGTGATTTTTTGGGATTAAGAGCTACCATGTTTATTCATATGATTGACCATGATTCACTTTCAAGATCACAAGGGGTCAGATATGTTAAAATCAGAAAATTTCTTCCCAATCAAAAAAAGGCCCAGGGTGTTGGTATTGGGCATGTAGCATGCTGGAGGAAAAGGCAACAATAATTGATGCCTTGGACTAACTTTTAAGGTCACAAAGATCAGATGTGTCAAAATATTAAAAATGCTTTTTCTCAATAACCAAAAGACTCGGGTTAGACCCACTTTCAAGGCCACAGGGGTCAAATGTGTTAAAATCTTCAAACTTCTCTCAATAAACAGAAGGCCTTGAGTGATTATATTTTGCTTTTAGCATGCTGTGGTGAAGGGCTACCAAGATTGTTCAAATAAATGGCCATGGCCTACTTTTGAGGTCACAGGGGTCAAATGTGTTGATTCTTTAAATGACTTCTCATTAATTAAAAGGCCCAGGGCACTGATATTTACCCTGTGGTATGGTTTTATAAAAGGCTGTCAATTTTGGTCAAATTAATGCCCCTTTCTAGGTCACAGAGGTTAAATGTGTTGAGAACTTAAAATTTCTTCTGTCAACAAGCAATAGGTCCTGGGTTATGGTATTCGTGTAGTAGCTAGTCTGAGGAATAGGGTTTGTTTGCAGAAATTGACTTGATGAACCGACAAGGTCTTCCTTGTAAGTTGCAGAACAGGTGAGCAAAACAGGCCCATTGAGCCTCTATCATATGAAGGTCTTTATAATCAGGTGACCTCGGGCCTCTTACATTATTGAAATTTTCATTGTTTTCATCATTAACAAACTGCCGTGAAACATCATGTGGTGCATTATTGATGTAAGTACCTGAAAATCACTCTTCCATGATTTGGAAATAGAGTGCAATGATAAAAAATATTTTATATGATATTTGAAATACGCGACCAATATAGACCTCTTTTTATCTCGCTGTTATATAAGCTCTTGAAACAAAACCTTTTTTCTAAAAATAATTTGCTATTTTTTTCCAGTGGATTTTTTCCAGTTGTTATAAATTTTTTACGGCGTGTTCCAGTCTTGGGAAGTTTACTCAGTCTGCCAGGGATACGATCGGTAAGCTTGCTAAATATTTTATACTCCCACAATGTTGTATATATGTAAATAAGTAGTCTGTCTCTCTATCTGTTGCTGAACATGGTCTTAACGATCTCTTAACTGTCATTCCCATTTTTTCATAGAATTATGCTCTTTCAATGAAATAAAGCTGAAATTTTTGTCAAGACAATTCCTCCAAAACTCCTTTGTCAATTTCAATAAATTTTTGATTACAGTGCTACCTTCTAAATAGTTACACAAATGGTTTTTATTCTGATCCATTTTTACAGACCGATGCTCAAACTCCTTCTACAGGTCAATGTTGACTTAACTTTACACATATCCTAACTACTCCATCAGGTTGCATATCAAAGTGTTTCATTTTGTTTTCATCGTCTCTTTTTGAGAGATTCTACAAACAATAGAACAGGATAGAAATATTTTCCCGAGATTAACTTTTCTCTGACTTGTATCAGTGAAACAGTTCACATTTCACAACTTAAGTCTTTGGCAAAATTCAAGCTGCAGGAGGCAGAGACCTATTGTTTATACAAAATTGATTCCCCTTCTCCAAAGAAAGCTCTAGACCAAATTTGTGCAAAATCCTATATTTAATTACAGAAGCAGAAAGATCATGCTAAATTTCTCTTTTTGGGTCCTGCTTCTAAGGCCATTTTTAGGTCAAGAACCAATATTCCTGCAAATATGGTCCCCCTTCTTTCAAGGATGCTTCTGACAGAATTTGGTCAAAATCAGCTCAGTTATTCATGACTGGTGGCAATGCCCTGCAGCTAAAAGCTCACCACTCCCTCAGACAAGATGGACTAAAGATTACTCTTCAGCATGCTTTAAACTTCTCACAATAGTAAAGCCTTATAAACTCACCTGGTGGCAAGGGTCGAGTGAGATATAGATAGGGATGCTGCAGCATCTGTTGTCTGACCATCTGTCTGCCATCATTATCCTACAATCACTACTTGTTTTGAACAATGGAACAGTTTGGGTCTGGAGCATCCCTTGGGGAAGGGAATTCATTTTCTATAAAAAGTGGGTCTGAGCCCCATTGGGGCAAAAGTTATGTGAACCCTTTGTAATCTGTCCATCCCATTATGCATTTTAATACAGGAGATGGAAGTTGGGATAAAAAAAAACTGGAATCCAGCATATGTCTGAAAAATGTTAAAAAGACCTTGATAAATATGTCAAAATAATATTGATACACCTATTTTTAATTAAGCTTAATTGTCATGTGAAAATCATAAAAACATAATTTATATAATGTTTTTGTGCATTTTTTAAAAATTCATTTGAAAAAAACTAATAGATTTTTGCAGACATATCTCAATCAAATGCAGAATATGATTTTATTAAGCTGTCTTTTTTTTTTTTTTTTTACATTTTTTCTCTCAATTTTGATCAATCTTTAATAGTACTTCTTGATATTAATACTTCCTTTGGGTGAAAGTGAATCCAATCTTTTCCCTATCTTACTTCTATACATACAATGGATGGATTTAAAAGTAAGTGATGTTCTATTGATAATCAAAGCTTTGTAGTGTATTGATTTTAAAACAATGTTAAATAATAAAATCAACTTATTTGATTCAACTCTAATGACATGAAGTATCCTAAGAGCACTTGATTGCATACATGTAAGTTTGATCTCATTTACATATTATGATTGATATCCAATTTGACATTTAACAAGAGGGAGAAAATAAATAAAGAATGATTGACTTTTGTGTGGCGTGAATCTTCTACATATATAGTAATTTCTGAACATTTCATTTTGAAATTATGTTGGTAAGAGCTGGATATATACTCAAAAATGCTTGCCATTACTTAAAACACATTTCCTTGTAAATATCAAGGTGGAAGGTAGTGTATTATCAATGATAGAAGTTATGTTTTGCTATTCTATAATGATTTGCCATACCCTTTATGCTCTTATTTCACAGCATATTCAAATATCTTCAGCACTTTGGCTGTGTTATTTATTTACAAAATTGCTGTGGTTATAAAATCTGTGGTCTCTGCTTGATCAAGGTTTAGCCTGTTAAATCGGAATTATTTAAGCTTTAATCTGCATGACAACTGATTTATTGATGTATTTATTGGTAATCACATGTATCATGTTTACTCCAAATATAGTCCTGATTGGGCCTCTGCAATATAGAGAATAAATGAAATCTCCAGAAAGTGTAATGGTATGGAGACTCAGTAATCAGTTAGCAGTTTTTGTGGTTCCTAGGTCCTGTGCCCATTTTTCTTTTGTTTCTTTTACTTGCTTTTTTCAAAATTGAACGATTGTAATAAAATGAGAATTAGGACAAATTTTTCAGGTTATATGGTTTATTAGTGGAACCCAGTTAACTAACAGTATTTCAATGGAGGTAGTGATTCATCAAAGCAATATGGTATCATTATATTATTGTAGACAAAGAAGTGTCCATTGTTTTGTTTTTTTTTTCTTTTTCAGATTGCAGACAAACTAGGAGAGTCCAATTCGATGGTATAACAGCTTTTAGAGACTCATTCATCATTTTCAGAACGTGTTGTTGAATCAGATTTGTGTGTGTGAATGTTGTGTATGAAAGGTCATGAAAGACGTACCTCATTTTGATAATGAAAATGCCTTAATCTTCTTTCTGCTTCTAAAGACGCACCAAAGCTTCGCCATTTTCCTTTATGAATTTTACAGTTTGGTATGTAGATTGTATCTCGCTCCAGCAAAGTTAAATTTATTTGTTGAATGCTCTCCCCAACATTTGTTCTGACAGGTAGGCATTAGTTTGTAGTGGATAATGGCAGCATCTGTTCCATGCTTGACATAATCTGTATAACATTGTAATCAATCGGTTCTGTCAAATGATGTGTATACCTTATGTTATGAAAATTAAACATAACTCCATGAAATCCTAAATTATGGTATATTTCGAAGGGTTCTTCGGCAGCTTGATGAAGCAACAAAATCCAGTGCTGAAAGTGGGACATTTCAAAAGTGGCTATACACCCTTCTTATTAAGTGGCTTCATCATCACATCTTTCAATGCTGCCACAAATATGTACGATTTTGTTTTGAACCATTTATTGAAAATAAAGGGATATCAAAAACACCGATATCTTACTTTTTTATTGCTTCACACAGCGGACATTTTGAATGATATTCCCCAAGTTTTAACATAAATGTTCTTGTAGGGTAGATAACTTTTTTCAAAGTTTTGACATGTTTTTTTCGTGCAGGGTTCTTCATGAACCCTGATCTACACTTCATTATCCTAATTTTTGTCTCGGAATGTGCGGGTGAGGGACTAATAATGACAAATGGATTCTGAGTTTCGTTTGTTCTCTATATTTACATGTTTGGGATTTTTTGGGGGAGTTTTTTTTTACAGGTTAAGTTTTTTTGCAAGTTCCTCCAGTGGTCACATAATGTGTTGTGGTCCGAACGCATGGATGTTTCTCTGGGGTTTTGTGATGAAGGTCAGAATTGAATCTGGAGAAAGGAAAGACGGATCACACATCCATTTGCCTTGCTCTTGTTGGTAGTCGTTTCCTTTGCCACAGTTATACATGCCTGTTACGTGGTGCGCGAGGCGAAAGTGAAATGCCGAAATAACACTTAATGCCCTTTGAATTCATGCTTATTGCATTTAATTTCTAGAATGTCGGATCTTTTGTACATAGTGCCAAAAAACGAGTTCGAGTCCGCTTCCTCGTTTTCACTTTTGACAGTCATTTGACATTACACATATTGTAATTTCTAGAACTGCATTTTGTTCGCTTACTAACAAACTCCGCCTACTATCAAGATGTTCACATGAACGCGGATGGTAAACGAAATCGTCCCAATATTATAATGTCAATTGAGTTCGAGATTTTGGACTTAGGGACAAACGATTGAGGTATGCTGAACCTCCAGATCTCATATGTAGATAAATCTAACACGGTGTTGTGTCTCACATCAAAATTAAGTCACTATCACACAGCGAAAACCTAGTTAAAAGACTAAAATGATTTTATAAAGGGATAAAATTATTATTATTTTAGTGTATGGTGAATTGGTTGTACGAATTGCCTGAATCTTTGCTGTAGACATCTGATGGAGTTTGGTGTCACTCTTTGAAACCAGAGAATACACGGACCTAAACGGTTTGGATGCAATTGGCTTGCGATAACTGTAGGAAATAACAGGGATATTTCTGCTTTGAAAGTATATTTGAACGTTAGCTTGAACAGACATCTGGTGTAAAGTATTGTTGATATTTATGGCACCCACTCCCATATTTGTAAATTTACCTTCATAAATTTGCGGGTTGTTGAAGGGTCAATCAGTACGAACAGGTTTAAAAAGCCTGATTTGCAGCATCATCAATAATTTTATGAACTCTCCAGCTTAGTTTCCACACGTCACCAGAAACGTAATCCATTTGAATTTTGTGTAGTACGGGGAGGAGAAGAGAATATAACGTAGTTCAACATGATGGACACCTCAGAGTTTCCTTAAAGTATACAGAAGATAGCGATATATCCGCTAGGTTAATTTTTCACGGTTGTAATTGTGCTGCAGATCTGATTTTTTAGAGTTTGAAGTACTCTCAGCGCTTTGTTTTAAATTAGTAACGACTCTTGGAACAATCCGAGAGATACTCTGTGTTCCAGTAATAGGCCCTGTACCCTTGCGACCTATTGAGGAAGTCCTTTTTACACAGGGCGCCGATTCTTCCAAGCACATGTCCAGTGGTACAAGAGCAAAAATAAATACCAACATGTCAACATAATCATAATCCAAACTCAAAATGAATAAAACTAGTTGAAAATATGAAAAAAAAGAATTACATAGAGAGTAGATGCTTTTCACAAATTATCAAAAATTAAGTGAAGAATCCAGAAATCCCTTAGAAATGATTTCTCCTAACCGACCCCACGTTTGGTCCCTATTGGGCCCCGCCCCTCTCGTCCAAGGAGTGGATTGATTATCTATTTGTTGAAAAACGATTCGCTTTCACAAGCATTTTAAAGAGAAAATTAAATCCACAGTCCTCAAAATCAACTTTTCAGACTGAATTTGGCAAATATCCACCTAGTCGTTAATGGTTATTAGAAATAGTTTGTCGAAAAAGTTGACAAACGGATGGGAAAACGTGCTCACGATAGACGCCGCTGTATGCCATAAGCTTGCGCTTGGCTCTCCATACCATGTGAGCTTAAAATCGATGTCCTCCCGGTGTAATGTTTCAGACTAACTTGAGTAGAGGTCACTAAGACATTGCCGGGCAATAGAAGTAGCCGAATAATGCTTTAGTGCTCCACCTCGAAGTCCTCAGGGATTAAATTAACAGCGTCCACTACGCAACAAATAATTGTTACAAAATGGCACGCAATATCTGTACAAAAGTACAAAAAAAGAAAGTTGTGATAATTCTTATATATCAGCACGCTATTTCGATTTTTTCCCGATCTCTGTTGCTTCCAATCAATTTAAGAAAGAGTCTTTGCTTATGGTCAGATTTTCATCAATACATAATTGAATCAAAGTGCACTTAACGCTGTCAGGGTTTTATACTTTTTAATGCTAAATAACATTTAAGAGATAAACTCAGAAAACAAGAGTCACAATGGACCTGAATCGCATACCTGTTCCACAGCTTTCAAAGAAATTGTCAGTTTATTACATTTAGGGATATTTAAAAGCACGTTTCCCAAGAATGCTTCTACACAAACACCATGGCACTAGGCTTATGGGTTATTAGAAGAAGTTGTTTAAAATTTTAACGCATTTGGCATTGTGATCTTTTAACTGTTAAAGCTCATAGTTCAAACTATGTTATCGTGAACATGTCGGTAACAAAGAAAAGGTGACACTGGACACGCGTTGTCCCCAACTATAATCTCAACGGCCGCTCGGGCAGAAGAGCTAATGAAGGTTACAATAAACACTGCTGCCATTTTGATGCCCGATAAATCACATTGTTAGGTCAGGATATTCTGTCCTTGGTAGAATTTGTGCCCGAAACTACACTTTAGAAAAGATACATTACGTTCATCTTTTGTTTTGTTTTTTTTGTGTTTTTTTCAAACATCAAAGATGGATTCCAACATTCTTGATATGGTAAATCGGCATCATAGAGCATTTGTCAACCTCATCACCAAGAAGTCTAACAGAATGCACGTTCTTGTCGGATTTGTCTGTGACGTTACCGGTTATATTACGTTCTAATAACGGTGACGTCGACAATATCGACAACATCGGTATATCGAGCTGCGTGGAAAAGGAACTAGATTCTGTTTTCATTGACAAACGTTGAACGAGGAAGCCATATAACATGAACCATTGCCGTATTGTGGTATAAAACATGCTAATGGCATGTGACGGCTGCATGTGTGACGTAATGTGACAGACATGGCACCATGAATAACGTCATATAAAATTACGTATTGTTACAAAAGGTGTGATGTCATTTTGCGACAGAAATGATGACTGGTTTCAACATATAAAAGTATGTAAATCCTTGTTGCAAAATAGATGATGCCACGTGGCAACAAATGTGATGTCATGACTCGTTACCTAAATGTGGCACGTCATTAAGTGGCATTGGCTGTAAATAGGACGTAAAACAATAACCCTGCAATTGTGACAACATGCATTATGTCAGGTTGTACCATCATGCCATGGGGCAATATATATGACAACACACATGATGTGTTAAAATGGGTGTTGCTATATAACAACGTAAGATGTCATTTTGACAACATCTGTTGGTGTTATATGACAACATTTATGATTCAATGTAAAAGAGTATGTTGTCATGTAACAAATAGTATACAATATGACGTAAAACATGACGTTTCATTACAATATGTGATGTTATGTGACATATGTTAACGTTTGTGATGTTATGTATGACAGGGGTAGAGGCTTATGTTTCTAAATTTCAGAAGCATTTATGTGCATCGTAAACTCTTGAAATTAGACTCCGAGTTTAAAGGAATTTGTTTTTTGTTGTATAATATTGACTACTGCACAGCGCAAATATAGGCGGGTGGGACAAACTTATTTCTATGTGAATAGTGTTTTGTCAATATAAACATTGGTTGTTGGACCTGAATTATGAAGTAGCAACATGAATCATTTCATTTTTAACTAAAATTATCTTTATAACTGGGCTCATGTTCATTAAGAACGCTGAAAGTTTGTACCAGAACATAGTAACGCGTTACATTAGTGTTCATATTCAACGTTGCAAACGGACCCCATAATATAGCCATGTATTTCGCTGACTCGAACTTAAGTTGAAAATTGGATAAAGGATGCCATCAAGGCCATTTTTTAAATATTTTTTTCTCAAGTCTCATATTCAAAGATGGAATTGGACCCCGGAATATCATGATAATTTTCGTAATCATTAAATTGCTAAGTACCGAGTTGACATTGGACTATGAAAAGCTAGGTTGTCGTGGGTCAGTTCTGATTTACCAAATTGTATAAGATTATATAATCAAGTAAATAGGTACCTGGTATCATAAATCTGATATCTTAAGACAATTTATATGTAATTTGATTAAAAACTGGATCAGCATTGCTCCATGATAAAATCACATTTATTTTTATGTTCGACGTTGAAAATGAATTAAGAATATATTTAACGTGAGCGCAAACAGCGACTGGCAACTGCAATTTTGAGTACTGACGAAAACATCTACATTTATATATGTAAATGGATGGTGTGTACAAGCACAGAGTCTGCTACATCATCTTATCTTCCCTTTAGATAAGAAACAGAGTAGAAAAATGATCATTGAACTTTATGTATATAAAATACATGGTCAGCGTTTTAAAATATAAACTATACTATGGCGAGGGTCAAGAAAGACAAAAAGTGGCGGGTCACTGTTGTCTTTCTGTCTCGAGCTAAAATGCAGCTTATATTTTAAGACACTGACCATGTATTCTATTTATCCTGCAACACCGATGGAGAATCAAAACATCAAAACCTCAACAGTTTTAGTTGATCAATCTTTGTTTATTTGACGTTGACGTTACACATAATTTTGCTTGATGACGCACGCCAAAATAATTGCACCGCTCAGAAATATAGTTCAAACGTTAATGGATATGACCGCGATTTTATGAATTTTCGTAAAAAAAAAAACCCTATTCATTACAAATTAGAAAATTACTTATTTCAGAACTTTTTTATAATTATATCTTTAAACGTAATTTTAAAGTAAATTCAGAAAGGAATTCGGTCGAATTACCGCATGTGTTAAAATACAGAAGTTTTCCGTCACTGCCGAATACAACAAACAGTGTAGCAGGCGTATTCCGACAATGGCTGTGCCAATTGTACAAAAGGACACAAATTGGTTCAACTGTAGTTACAACACTGATGATAAATCTCCAGGGAACACGGCGATAATCAGGCCACTTTCTGGAGCATCTGTAACCATTCAACAGTTTTGCTTCGCAGGTATGGTAATACAAGTCTAGGAATCCATGGGCGATTTTGAACGGACTAGACGTGGAAACTGGACCATCATGGAGGAAATGGCTGTCATCGAGGACGACATGTTCTCTTCTTATTGTCAACTACATAGAATTAATTACGGTTTTGATTTAACTACTTCTGGCCAAATTATTTTAGAAATTTAATGTGATCGTTTTGTGGTTGGAATTGTTATAGACTATACATCACTTTGATATTTCATTATTGAAATTACTTTTTTGTATCAATTACAATATCCCATCCAATTGTTTGCACACAAAGATAAAGGTTTCTAAATTTCCTGAGGATTAATACTTATCAACAAAATCATTTGCGCCGATCGGACAATAGCTTAGACAACCCTGAATTTTCCAACATAATCCATGTATTTTAAATAGTCCTTGAAATGTACATAACTTTCAATCTGTCATGAAAACTGAAGCCAGATCATGAAAAATGTGCTGATAATGATTTTTATATTACTGAGAGAGTTCCTTAGATTCTAACCCCTTTCGGGATACCCTCTTCCCATTCCCACTTTCTAGCTGCAAGCTCCTGGTTGCTGCCGTCAGCTTACACGCGTGATACAAACAATGTAGGCTTACATATTGTCACGTCAATCGTCCGCGTCTGGAATATACAGGATAATAGTGATTGTGTAAACACAGATAATAGGATAACTATGACATGCGCGCTCTATAAGCAGGTAGCAATCTGATTACTTGTTATCAGCTGATGGACAATACTCCTGTATGTAAATGTTATCTGCAGGGGAGAACAGTCAGTGACAGAACAGATAACAACACCCTTCCCTAGGCCATATTTTAACAAAACGAATATTATATAGCAATGAAGAGGTACATTTTTTGACAGGTAAGTTAATTTCATTTTCAAATTCGTCTTCGGATTTAGGTGCGAGTTATTGTTTTAGAAAGCAGATATACTGTATTTTGTCAAATTGAAATCAATGAAGGATTACTGGTCAAATTTGTGTTTATATAAGAAATCTGTACATTGGTTTGGTTACTCAACCCACAAGCACGTCATACTTGAATGAATAAGCAACGCATTAGTTATAATTTACAGTAATTCAGCGCGTGAGTAACAAAAGAATATATCGGAAATTGAACGAAAAAAAAAAAAAATAAGCAAAAAAGAAAATTTACAGGAAAAAGGTTTTGATGTCTGTTAATTTACTAAAGCATTAGTTAGCACTGAGAACAGACTGGATCTAAACTTTACACCGAAACGAAATCCATAAAATATTCGTGTATTGTTGTGACGTCACAACAACACTAACAACAACAAAGCGAAATACTATCATATTAAGAATCAAACTTAGAAAATTTATGAGACTTGAGCAAAAATTTGAAGAGAAGAGAGATTTACATACACACTCTTGGACGGAGGATAAGACCACAAACCTCCGAAAGATTTAGCCCATTCCGTAGTATATAAATAAGACAATGTTCATCCGTGTTAATAAATTGCTTTTTGAATTTAGAATATTAACACTGATTAGAGCTTTTCCTCCTCTCGTCTTTGTTCCCCGATCTTCAATACTATCTTTATATTCCCTTTCGTGACCCGGAAGTACTTAAGATTCAACGTTTTCCTGGTTTCTGATCCAACAATATGAAACATCAAGTATCTAGTAGTTAATCTATTAGTATCCCTAATTGAAAAAGGAACTCGATTCTTTGAGATTTTTTTTTCAGCTTGTTTACCTACAACTATAAGTCATTGTACGAAGTATACCTCCAGAATGAACAGGTGGCTGGTAAAATTGGGAGTAATCTTCATAGTGTTGGTGTCTCTTCACGCTGAGAAAAAACTAACCATTCCTGGTCTAGACTACACAGTCTGTGATGTCACCGCCAACGAAAGTAAGTTCGATCTCGAACATAGACGGGTAATTGATTCTATTTCTCGTACATTATCTTTATCATTCCTAACCACAGTGTCTGAGATATCACCCTCAATAACAGTAAATATCACCGATAGTATTGTATCGTCCTCCTATAGAGGACAGGCTAACCATACATTGAGTAAAGCAGGATTATAATGAAGTACGGCATGCACTGAATATAGCATGCATGTAATTAAGGACAACATATACTCGGCGAGTAGTGCTCTGCATCATTACTGTTATATTCTGAGTATGGCAGGACATCAGGTTTCATAGTAAGTATATAGAAAGGTGAGTATATCAGATTAGTTAGCAAACACACAGAAAAGTGTGTATACAAGGTTTGTTAGTAAACACACGGAAAAGTGTGTTTACCAGGTTTGTCAGTAAACACACTGAAAAGTGTGTATACCAGGTTTGTCAGTTAACACACAGAAAAATGAGTATACCAGGTTTGTTAGTTAACACACAGAAACGTGAGTATACCAGGTTTGTCAGTAAACACAGAAAAGTGAGTATACCAGGTTTGTTAGTTAACACACAGAAACGTGAGTATACCAGGTTTGTCAGTTAACACACAGAAAAATGAGTATACCAGGTTTGTCAGTTAACACACAGAAACGTGAGTATACCAGGTTTGTCAGTAAACACAGAAAAATGAGTATACCAGGTTTGTTAGTAAACACACAGAAAAATGAGTATACCAGGTTTGTCAGTAAACACACAGAAAAATGAGTATACCAGGTTTGTCAGTAAACACACAGAAAAATGAGTATCCAGGTTATCAAAACTGTAGTGAAATGATTTCATTGAAAACGAAAGGAATCATTGTTATTTAGCATCATTAATACTTTTTTGTTGCAGCACTTTCTCCTCTGCCGGACCTGGCCGTGGACTTCTCAACAGTTCTAGAGTGGAAGATCGTGAATGAGAACCTCACAGTCAGTGTTCACGAATTCAAGTCTAAAATAGAGATGAAAAGTTCGCTTTTAGTAACAGAAGAAGGAATCACCACTCGGGTGATTTACGACAATTTTATGGAACAGTATGCTATTATCAAGCAAGGTAAAGTTAACTGGCAATAAGATATTATTCAGGGATCTGGGCTGTTCGGTAATCCAGATGGTAAACCGACAATGTTCCCTTATAATGGCTCCTAATTTACACATGGTCGCTCTGAATCACAATCTTTACACGACTTTGTTACATCTAGCAATGGCAGACCATGTCACACATTAAGACATTGATAGAGGCACAACATGTTACATATAACATCTGTAATGACATATCATATATGAAAACCCTGATAAGGACACATGATATTACATATAAAACCCTGATAATGACACATGATATGACATGAAAATCCTTAAAATGACACATGATATTATATATGAAAACCCTGATAATGACACATGATATTATATATGAAAACCCTAATAATGACACATGATATTATATATGAAAACCCTGACAATGACACATGATATTACATCAATTAGCTTGGTATACCCTTGTTAATAACATGTTACTTAGTGTAACCCTGATAATAACACGTGTAACATTGTTTTACCGTGATAATGTCACATATAGCGTCGTATATCTTTGTTAAGGACACATTTTACCTAGGAGCACTATGACGTTAATTTTGTTGCAGATTTAAGTGGTGCCTACTCATGTGTTACTCATCAACGAAACAGTGAGTTGACCCTCATTGACGATAAGATCTGGTATGTCACCACCTCACAACTCTTCAAAACTATAGAGACTTCACACGTGGTAAGGGAAAAATCAGTTTGGTTTTTAAATCTTTAGTTTGAACATTTCGTTCTCTTCCTTTGTTGATTAAAGTATTTCATCCATTAATCTGAGGCATCGTTTGGTGAAGATGACGTTATAGAAAACAATTGGTTGGACGACCGGTGTTTACGAATTTTGTCTGGAACTCAAAGCTATTTTTCAGCTGAAATAAGATAAAGCGCATCCGAAAAAAATACATACACAACATGCTTCAATTTGTTAAATTTACAATTTGTTCCTGTTGAATTCTACTCTGGATAACTGAAACTTTTTTTCATAACTATTCTTAAACTGTTTAAATGTAGATCCTCCGATAGATTCTTTAATATAGGAGGGTGTAGAATTTGAAGAACAAATGTTTTGCTCGTATAAAAATATGATATAGAATACTAGAGACTTATCATGGGATTCAAGCCAGTTTAATGAAAGGGAAAGAATTTTCAAAATGACTGATAGTATAAAAAAAGTACCACAGAGAGAATAACAACACAGCTGACTTAAGACTAGCACAACATAAAGGGCAGTAGGATCGGGACAAATTGTTGTAAACAACATGTTTATAGGCTATACTGGTCATATTTCCTAACTTTTAGTTGTCATTTTTATTCTGTGGTAGCATTTTATGTTGTTCAAAGGCCATAAAATCCGACAAAATACTTTGACGTTAACCAAATTAAACCTTAATCAGCGTTTTCTCAAAATGCGGCTATATATCAAATAACACATTGCAAGAGCACAGACAGGAAAGCAGATTAAATTATGACAGAAACGCTGTCGATGGCAGTTCTACAAGCCATTCTATGGCGGAACTTGACAAAAATTGCGATAACACAAAAAGTCAAGGCATTCAATGAAATAGATTGACAATACATGCTCAATCGACTGACAAAACAAGCACACTAGATTGACAAAACAAGCTCATTAGATTAACAAAACAAGCTCACTAGATTTGCAATACAAGCTCAATTTATTTACAATACAAGCTCAATAGATTGACAACACAGGCTCAATAGATTGACAATGTAAACTCAATAGATTGACAATGCAAGCTCACTAGATTGGCAATGCAAGCTCGATAGTTTGACAATGTAAACTCAATAGATTTACAATGCAATCTCAATAGATTGACAACATAAGCTCAATAGATTGACAACACAATCTTAATAGATTGACAGCATAAGCTCAATAGATTGACAACACAGGCTCAATAGATTGATAACACAAGCGCAATAGATTGACAATGTAAACTCAATAGATTGACAATGCAAGCTCAATAGATGACAACATAAGCTCAATAGATTGACAATACATGCTCAATAGGTTGACAACATAAGCTCAATAGATTGACAACACAGGCTCAATAGATTGATAATACAAGCTCATTAGATTGACAATGTAAACTCAATAGAGTGACAATGCATGCTTAATTGATTGACAACATAAGCTCAATAGATTGACATTACAGGCTCAATAGAATAATAACACAAGCGCAATAGATTGACAATGTAAACTCAATAGATTGACAATGCAAGTTCAATAGATGACAACATAAGCTCAATAGATTGACAACACAGGCTCAATAGATTGATAATACAAGCTCATTAGATTGACAATGTAAACTCAATAGATTGACAATGCAAGCTCAATAGATGACAACATAAGCTCAATAGATTGACAACACAGGCTCAATAGATTGATAATACAAGCTCAATAGTTTGACAAGTAAACTCAATATATTGACAATGCAAGCTCAATAGATGGACAACATAAGATCAATAGATTGACAACACAGGCTCAATAGATTGACAATACAAGCTCATTAGATTGACAATGTAAACTCAATAGATTGACAATGCAAGCTCAATAGATGACAACATAAGTTCAATAGATTGACAACACAGGCTCAATAGATTGACAATACAAGCTCAATAGATGGACAACATAAGCTCAATAGATTGACAACACAGGCTCAATAGATTGATAATACAAGCTCAATAGTTTGACAATGTAAACTCAATAGATTGACAATGCAAGCTGAATAGATTGACAACATAAGCTCAATAGATTGACAATACAAGCACAATAGATTGACAACACATGCTCAATAGACTGGCAATGCCAGTTCAGTAAACTACATAATAATAAAAACATCAAATAATTCAAATTAAAAAGCTTTCTTTTAAAATAATCCAAAAGCGGAAATAAAATTAAAACAGATTGTGCAATGAGAACAAGAACATGAAAGAAAATTCTGGTCGGTAAAGTTACATTAAGTTGTCTTTCTTTAAAAATGATGGATTCCTTTTCATTTCCTGTTCCTATAAGTAACTTATTGGTTAGTACAAGTTTGACAGAAATCTGGAAAATAGTAATGAAAAATGTTATGGTTAGCTTTTCCCTAAGACATAAACAATTTCAAGTCCCTTTTGAAAATTACTTCCTGGCACGGTATCTATCAAATATCATGTTTAATTATAATATCAACAAATAACATGCACGATCGTTATGCTCCAGAATTTCCTTGTCTATTCTTGTCCATACGTTGATTAAAGAATTGCATGTAAAATCTGTTATATTATAAAAAGTGATCTTATTTTTCTCAGTTGCCATTGATGACAATTATCTCTGAATATAAATTTGTGTAGGTTATTTTGATTGATTTTCATTCCTGTGTGACAATCTTCATTGGCAACATGGATCCTGTTAGGTTGACTGATTAAAACAGGTATCTGCAAATATTTATCCTCCGGGGCCCCTTTTTATTTTGGCGGTTTACGTGTTGCATTTTGGTTGTAGCATTTTGTAGAGGATACACAAATACGAGACATCGATGTTAGTCACTACAACACCTGTATGTTCCTATATTCATACAACATGACAATAAAAGTAGACCTATTTTTTGCAGGTAAGTGGAATTTTCAGTTAGCAATCTCTTTTGTTAATTTTTGATATATCTATTTTCAGGTTTTGAAGTGTTTATGTTGCATGTTCCGTGTGATTCTTGTATTTCTTAATGTTTCGATGAATTCGTCTTTTCTTTTTCTATCCGGTGATGTTTTTTCTTACTTCAATTTCTTTTTCAAAATAAATCGGTGAATTTACTAGAAGTGTCTCTCTTAACCATTTACTGTTGTTTTTAAGTCTTGAGTCTCTGAACTCCAGTTTTTAGCTTACAAAGAGGATTGGAGAAGTTTCAGTGTTAAATTTCCCATACAAGCCACCCACAGCTGTATTTTTTGTCAAAATTCGCTAGTACTATAAATAGCAACAAACTTAGATTTTCAATTTTTAGATTATATATTTTGCATCAAATGTGTATTAGTATAAGTTGACTTGTAAGAAAAGTTATCATTTCAAAATTAAAAATGATAAAAATAACGAGAAAATGAAGTAACGAATGTTTTTAACAACCGATACAATATACTAACAGCCAACGAAGTTTAACTACAAGACTGTGTCAGTCCTGATCCCTACCCTTGGTGTTCACTGATCCATAACTATTTGCTATGGTGAAATTTTCAACACAATCAGCCGTAACCACCGCCTGTACTGAACATCTAATTTTGGTGTTAACAATGCCTTATCGTAACATTGAAATAATGGTATTTGTTCAGAGAAAGAGAACGTCTCACTGATTCTCTTATGCTACCACTGATCGCAAAGGTATTTGACGCTTACAAATCAATTTGTACATGTAGTTTTGATAAAAAGAGAACTTGGATATGTAATTTAGATTTTAATGAAACTTGGATTACTCCTTGTTGAAAGTTCAATGCCAAAGCACTTGAACAGTCCGACCTTGATGTGGAAGAACAGACCGACTTAAAGTTTTTTCCAGAAAGAATATTACCGAAAGCATTAGAAATATATACTGTTTCTTTGCAGTTTGTAAACTCATCTCAATCATTATGTGTCCATTTCATCCTTAAAACGACACAGCTGAGTTTGAAATGCTCAAAAACCGCAAATGAACTATCTTGATGTTCATTCTGCAGAATTGGTGACACCGACTAAAACAGGTTAGTCGAACGTGACTACTGGAGAGGATTAGTATTTTTTCGCATGGTCGAAGATGAAAATTCAGCTTGGGTCGCTAGCACTCCTGTCAATCATTGGTAAAAACTTAACGGATGTTGGCAAGCTTGCATGATACTAGACCATCCCCACTGATCCTGTTGATTTGGCCATAGAAGTGACGGAACTAGATCCAGACCGCATAAGCTCTCAGTATGTTGCGGTTCTTTAAATTTCTTATATGACATCGCTTCAAACCGAATTGAACGTGGCCTATAAAATCTGCAATTTATATATCCAGCACTTTTGATGTAGTCATGAGGATTCTTGAGCCTCTTGACTGGCGATCGAAAACCATCCATATCCCATGGAATGTATCCCTACCGTCTATAGTGCAGGAGTTGTGATCAATGACGTCTGCTGCGTATTGCATGAACTGCTGATCAGACCTTCCATGGATATCCCTTTTTCTCTGCTGTACAGCTCTGGTTTTAAAGATATTGACCTCTGCATAAAAAGAACAAATTCCAAGAGATTTGAGGACATCAATAAGAAAATTTGATCCGTATTGGTGGTGCAGGTGAATGCCAAGACCTATGTGTAAAGGTGCCCAATGATTCCGAGACTTGTTACCTGTTCATTGTCCAATAGCTGCTTATTTCATGACAGGCTTATATTAGTAATTTCCAGCAAGAGTGAATCAAGACTGCTTGGTTAGTATTAGGTGATATTTCTGATGGTTAGGTTCCAAGTCTTGGATCCAGTTCCATTATATCAGATCTATTTGGTTTAGCTGTTGGTTCAGATGATGACATATCTCGGACGAGCCTAAAACATTCGAAGAATCTCAGGAAATACTTTTTCAAGGTGGAGAATATTGTGTTGTACCCATATTGATTGATTAGAGGTCATCTTAAGTTCTTCTGCGTGAATATATCTCAACAAAACAAAACAAAAAAAACGATGTGTGTGATAATGTCGTTTGCCAGAAATGGTCCTGTATGGGTTTCTATAGTGTAACGATATTGACGTGTGCTGTGTTTTACCTTTTACTCAATTCTATATGGAAAAATGACACATGAAGCCCTCAAGTGTCTTGTACATGACTATTCCACCTGTCAATGATAAGTCATCACTAACGGTACGCGAGAATTGAACGGGACATACACAAGGTTAGATAAATGTGAAGAAAGGCAAATCCACTGATCTCGTAACTCCGAGAACTAACACAAATTCAAAACCCATCTAAATCTTCATTGTCTCCACGTCACCTATTTAGACTGAATATTTTATGAAAATAAGATTTTTAGTTTGTTTCTTTTCATTATCTGGTTTTATATTATGTTAACAATGAACTATAAATATACTGTGTCTTCGAATTTGGAACCTACCGTGTTTTCGCTTGTTTGAGGCTATCCTTATTTATTTCAGCCCGAGGATGGAAGTCTCCACTAGCTGCCCCAGATTCCCTGATACCAGTGAGGATAGAAATAATAGGCACACAGAATTTGGTGAAGCAGGTCCATGTCATAGGCGATTACATCGACTTCAAACCCTCTCCAGCATTTGATCAAACAATGTTACAGGTGTGTGTCTCATTACTGAGGTGATCATGTCGCCAATATTGTTGATGGGTGAGAGTTGAAGGCTTCACCTACCTTTATAACCTAATCAATAATCGGAACTTCGACTTTAGTTATGTGTTGATATTTATCCTCGATTGTAACCGGGTTACAATAGTTGATTACATTGTTGCTCAATACCAAAAACTGCGATGAAAATCCGGATTTCTGCATAAGTCATAGAGGATGTTAAAACTTAAATATATATGATACTGACAACAATATAACTATCCATAGTTATGTCATAATAACAGTAAATTATCAAACAATAGTTAAAAGTTAAGCTGCCACCTACTGTATGGGGCATACAAAAACATGACTTTCATAAGGCTATGAACGCTAAAAAAATCACATAAGAATAAAAGAAATACAAAGAAAATATTGAAATATCTAATAAATGAGGTATCAACTACGACTTCTTAAGCAATGGTAACGCATTTATATTGGGTAATTTTTGAAGATCTTATCCTCGATATATTCATGAATTCTGATGCTAGTCCAAACATGGCGGCCATCTTTTCGGTTGACACTGTATACAGTTATTATAAAAAGATTCTAAATGTGTCATCGAAACGTGAAGTTGACATTACGTGGTGAAGATAATCTTTGTGTCATATTCATGTTCGCTTTTCTTAACTTTAGAAATGACATCAGAATGACGATAAAGACGATAATTCTAACCTTAATATGATATTCCCAGGGATCGACTTCAATTATAATATCAAAACTACAGTCATATATCTAAATCACTTGATATTGTCTCCTTCCTTTCTGATTCCGTACAGAACGATACCCAAATTCCAAATATTTGTTTGAAAGAAACGTATTGACCACTTCGGAAGAGTCTTCCGTCATGCTCTGTATATATAAAACAAACACTCTTTTGTCATTTCATGAACATTTGATGTAATAGTCAAACTTAAGTAACATAAAATCAGGTCTAATTACAAACTTGTTACACGTGACAACTTTTGAAATGTAATGTACAAGATATTTCTTGACTCCATCTACAAGTCAAGGTATTCATAACATTAGATTTTGGTGGTTAAGGTCAAATGGTCATAGACGATCATTGTCCCTTTTTTCAAAATATAATCTGTTATTTTCTAATCAGGAGTACAGTGAGCATATCTATGTGAGTCCTGCTCAATTTGCTTGTATCTGTTAAGAAGATACTAGATAGTGGAATGTGAAAATATATTCTGATAATTTGAATCTTTGGTGAGCGAAGTTGAATTATATTTACGTTATTTTATTCCTTATCATGACTCTCAGTGGTATTATATAATGTCAGTACTTCATTTTCTTCCCACAGCAACCCCCTGGTGTGTACTGCCACGGATACGGGACCCCAACAGACAACAGAAAAATGTCGCCAAGTTTTTCGGCAGTTCTGGAGAAGGTCGACATGGATTTTAACACGATCACCTATGAAACTGTAAGTTCTTTTTTTATTTTATTTTTCGATAAATGAAGTGTTAAAATTCAGCTCTGATTGTTAAACACCGAAATGCATTTAATGTCATCGTATGACCACCGAATGAGTTTCTCAGGCTCCAGTAGCAATATCGTGACTTGCTATTAATGTTCATCAGTCTATTTAATTAAAAATTATCTAGATCAAAATGTACAACTACTTCTGCATTTCTGGTTAATGTTTCATGTCTGCCCTAAAGTGTTTTTCGCACTGTAATAATTTACGTATTTTGACACTAAACATCTATATTTTGATTCTAAACAGATATATTTTTATTCTTAACAGATATATTTTGATTCCAAGAGAAAGAGAATTCGTAGAGACCACAAATCAGCTGATGGTACAGATTCTGATACTTTCTCTGAATTTTATGACTTCAAAACAGGTTAGCTATATAGTAACAGAAGTTGTTAGTAAAATGATTTTAAACTTAATGCACTAATATTTTTGTGTAAATACCACACCAAATCAAGTAATTTTACTGAAGTAATTTTTCTGTTGGTAAATAGTACAAATCATAAAACAAAAAGTATCAAATATGTCGTGTATAAATCCGTATCATACTTGTGGTATCGTAATACACCCTTTCAACCCAATTCTGTCGTATATTGCATTCAGACAAAACAGATCAGCGTTGCCTTTTTCTTTGATCCCAAAAATAATGCTTAATAAATGTTTGCCAGCTTACTTATCTTCTGCGGAACGTAGATGTTTCTCCTCCAAATGAAGAACATGACTATATTCTACCAACCCGTTATCACTGGCAAAATGAAACAGAATATTTGCAAACAAATAATTTATGGACCGCGGATGAAGATGGCGACGTGGTTGTGTGGAAATTATTATTGTGATTTAAATATCACATACACACAAATTCAAGCCCACAGGACAGTAAAACGCTTAACACAATGATAATTTCACATTCGATATAATTTGTAGAGAATATCGGTTGCATTAATGAACGCAGACAAGATAATCAGTTCGAGTTATTGTATTGCTATTTTACTGTTTATCATGTGAAGTTTAATGTCAAGGTGTCATTGAAATAAAGTTCCATTTTTTAAGTCCCAGAAAGTAACATCACATATTTTACTTCTGATAATGAAAAGTTTAATATAGAGATTAATTCATTAATCACGTAATACTTTCTACGTTACATATATAATTGTCAGTACACCCATTTGACAGCTGTAATCTGGTACAGCTACAGAGAAACATCATTCACTATTTACATTTTACGTTGGATAAATGTTCCTTATACAAATATCCATGTTGTTGATATGGAGTGATGCACCAGAAAATATGCAATTTAAGTGAGAATTAACTCGTGTGACAGTCATGATGCTGAAAAAAAAAGGAAAAGAAAAAATATGGAGGAAACGTTTGGCTGTGATTTTGTACATAACAATTCGTACAAATGGTAATATGTTGCTGGTTTATTCTGTCTCCTGGTGTGAAATAATGACACTGATCGTTATAGGTGCAAATCATGAAGAGAAAGGACAGTTTAAGGATGTTATCAGAACTGAAGTAGATTCAATAAAGACTTTTTGACTAGTTACGGCATACAACTGTGGTTGTATCCATGAGTAGTTGTAGTAAAACAAACCATAAGTGATAGATTGTGTACCGGGTTTAATGGAATAGTAAAACGCCACTCGAAACACAACAAAAACTACTAAATTTCTCATCGAGATGCTGTTTTCTGTGTTAAGGTATCCTGTATACAGTGGACACTTACATTGGCGTGTGTACACCGTCCACACTGCAGAAAGGTGTCCGCTTTGTGTCGGAAGAGTCTGACAATGCTACACCGATGGGTCTCAGTATGGTCACTGCTGAAGATGTATTTCACCTTGATACAAAACTTATACAATTTGTTGGCAAGGTAATACTAAACCACTCACAATGTCTAATAATTCTCTGTTTATTTTCAGGATTGTCAGTTTTTGTAAACTTTGACTTCCATTTGCCAATTTCTCTGCTGTCGCTCCCTATAGGGAAGTTTTGTTACTAAGAATTCCGTATAAGAAGTTATGCTACTAAAAAATCCCTATAGGAAGTTTTGTAACAAAAATGTCCTTATATGGGGATTTGTTACTAAGAATTTGCTATAGGGGTTTCTTAGAAATGCTCTTGTCACTGAAAATTAATCTGATATTTTTGAATCATTGAGAACTTACCTTGGGGGAAACTAGCTAATATATATTACTTTTGAATTGTTTAGTTACTCAAGATTCCTTTCTGTGAGTTTTTATTAACAGATAATTGTTTCTTGTGAATTTTTCCATTTGTTCTCATTTTGGTCTTACTGGTTATATTGTTTTATATTTCGTGTGCGAAGGGATTTGTTAAGATACACGTAGGAAGAGTGTTAATAACGTAATGAAAATCAATACTCTTCAGAAAGATGCCAAACTGTAGCATGAAAATAGATCTACATTTCGAGATCTAGACACTGCATATTATCATAGAATGTTTCAATCAATTTTTATCGTGAAAGCAAGTGAAAACATTTATATTTCGCATTCAATTTCATGCTTACAGAGAGTTACATTTTGGTACAAAGTATGATTTGCAAGGATTTATAGGTGAAGAAAAAACTTTTAGAGGGTTACAAGAAATAAGTAAGGTCCTAATTTGTTTCATTGTGTTTTGACTAACGAATCATAACTCCTTGAAAAAGGATTTTTTTAACCATGTCGTCTCTTATTCTTAATTTGTACTAAAGGGTATTTTAACTTGTGTTTATTACAATCTTGCGGTTTGTGTTGAATAATGTTACACATCATTTACTCTGTAAGGATTTTAGCAGTTGTGGTACAGAGAAGAGTTTATACGGGCGGCGGTATCAATAACAAAATCTACAGGTTGGAAGTTTTGAGTTACGGAGAATCAAATGTGGAGATTATTACGTTACAGAGAATTACCCGTGGAATATATTGTCAAGTATGGTGTGGGCTGTATTTGGACCCAGAGACTGGCAGCAATAACACTGTAGAGTGGTATTTTACTGAGGTGAGCAATATCCTGTCATTATACTACATTATACAATTATTGACTTCGGTTCGCCTCGGTCAATATAATTTTTTCAGGTTCATATCACATCATATTTACCAGTACAGAAGTCCATAACTGTTTTATTATATGTTCAATAAGAACACAAAACGTTCGCTGGCAGCCATCGCAACGTCTGTAATCGTCTGACAGATCGCGTTCCAGTCTAACTGCGCATGCACTGCGACAAGCTGTAGGGAATTTCCATTTAGGCTTTATTTAGAAATCGATATTCACCGGAAAACCAGTCCTCATCAGTTTTTGAGAACTGATCACGTGTATAGGATCCAGCCAATGCGATTTCGAGAAAAATTCATGCATATAATAAAACACTTTATTTAATTCTTGTTATCCGCATTCATTCTTCCTCGTCCCAACTAATTGATGCTTACATGTCGCAGATGATCCTATATTCTTTGACTTAATCCCAGTTCAACTATTTTCGGGCAAGACGTCAGCAAATGACAAACCGACTCAACACAGGGTTTCAGGAGATGGAAATTGATGAAGATTTACAAGAAGCTCATTGGTATACCTGACAGTTCCGTTGTTGTTAACCTTGCTTTCAGCTGAGAAAGCGACACTACGTGCGTGTATTGACTGCGGTTTACATAACGGGTATCGTTGATAAAGCAGAATACGTTTACCCTTCCGGAATACCTGGTCTAATTCCCCTTGTACTCTTATCTGGAATCGTCGTGTAAATCTTTCTTTCTATAATGATGTAAATATATTTCCCCCTCTTTCGATATGAGTAGAATGCTCAAAATCTACTCCCATGATTGTTATTTACTTACGTGAACTGAATGACAGATCTGTTGACGACATCCTGGGGATTCATACCACAAATCTATACATCTCAGCTCGCCGTGATATATAGGGTAGTCTAAGCGTAATACAAAAATACTAAAGCAGTAAGTATACTACCGATATTGTTGAATTTTTAAGCATTGATGGAAATAATGAAGGAAAGACTGCATCACAATGAAGAGGGGTATTCCAGCGAATATCATCTGATAGATTATCTATCTAATATGTTGATGATTATTATCTCCCTCTACAATACACAGCCACCAACATTTTTCTTTTTTCATACCTTGCCGCCGTCTGTCGTTGGTCTTTTAAATGTCTTCCTCTCAAGAACAAGTGAACGGATATTATCCAAATTTGGTCATTTGATCTAAACAAATCCTGAGTAGATATCCCTCTGAGGGCTAAGAGGTAGGTGCTCAAAAGAGGAAATCAAGTTTAAACTTTAAAACATTTCTTCAGGGTGAGAAAAGCCGATTTGAATGTTGTTTTATGTATCATTTTGGCATGCCATAGAAGTATACTTTTTAAAACCATTAAGATCGGTCCATATAGGGTCCATATATCTGGCCACACGGAGGGGTCAAAGTTCGTAATCGTTTATAAAGGATATAAATCAGGTTTAAGCTTCAAAAACATCTCCAGTCTGAGAAAAAACACGACAATGATGGAGGACAGGAAGGAGTTAAATTTCCCATTTCTAAAAGCCACAGGTATTGTCTGTGAAATTTCATGGAATAGCCATCGACTTAAAGGAACAAAAATATCTACATCCATGTTTCATTGTGTTAATCATGCATTTGTTCTCCGTGGTAATGTCTTATCTGAGAGTAGGTCAGCGATACAGACGCGTTGGACCTTTTGTGTGGCTATCTTGTTGACAGATTCTATAAGAAGTGTGTAATTTAAGTTTCCTGCCACATCAGTATGAAACAGCCGTGGGATATCAACTATTTTCAAGTGATTAATTGATCTGAAGATTTGTTCCCAGAAAAGTAAAAAAAAATACAATACGTTATGATACAGAGTGGTATATTTAAAACGGCATCAATGAAATATTAGAAAATTGGTAATTAATAATAAAAAGAAATATGCATGACAACTTTTGAAGTTATTCACCATTTAAAATTATGGTATCTATTGAAGTATGAGGCTAATAATATTTGCCATCTTAATTTATATCGTTATTTCCTTTGTGCACAACCAAATTATTGAACTCATTCATGTATACTTGCTTTTTATTGAATATCCTACCTGGTTTGATATGCTTTCAGGGCGAGTGGGTGGAGGCGTCAGGTAACTCTGTGATATCAGGGGCGCTGATTCGTATGGACGTCTGGAAGGTAAGATCATATTACGTAGAATAATTTCTGTATGTAGATTATCCTCATGAATAATTGACAGTGACGTTTTAGTCTCTCAATTCCACATTCAATAAACAAGGAAACATTTCAATACTTAATACAATGGAATATAACGTACAGACGGTTATTTTCGCGGGGATAATATTTTCACTATTTCGCGGGTCATTTTGATGAAATTTGATCCATGAGATATGGCATGTACACATTTTGATACAAGTTCAGGTAGCATTTCTATACACAATTACGTGGGAGCACGACAACGTAATACTGCAGAACTGAACTGAACATTTAACGTACATAGCTCGTCAAATAGCAGTAATTTGATTTCCAGATAATGTCACAACGCGAAATATTTAACTCTTGAAAATTTCATTTTCTTGATTTGATGGGAATATCGCGGAATTTTTTCCAGCGAAAATAACTGGCAATTCATTAGTAGGAATATAAATGTGTATTTTTAATAAGATATTAATTCTTTTTTTTGAACAGGGAAGCGACAATAAACCGATTATCTACCATATACATAATATGGACAGCTCTATTCCACCACTATCAACCTTTGACCTCAGCGCGTGCTTTCCTACACAGAGGAAGACAAATTTTGTCATAAACTTTGAAAGTAATGTATAGAAGTATGATTTTCGCACTTGTATGAGGAATGTGTAGGTAAATATTTGAAATTTCATCATAACATATATGGTCATAGTCCTCTGTCATTATATTGTGGGTTTTGTGAGTTTGTAAAATCTGTTGAACTACGAAAATGGTCTTAATATTTCTTTACGAACACGTTGTATACTGTTCCGCAATGTGTAGTTTCGCATGCCATGAACTTCCGAAATGATCACAAGCGGCCATTTTGAATTTTAATTTTTTGAAGTTGACTATAATGTTTTACTGAAAATCTACAGAAAACCAGTCTTCAAACTTGCGGTTTTGTTTGTGTTATTGTTTATCGTCGAAATTGCACGCGATGGAATTTGAATTCCAGAGGTTTGCCCTAACCTAAATGCCATGTTTTCATTCATTCAAATTGGAACACAGTTCAGAATGTATAACCATGTGCTGGACATTCTTCTAGAATTAACAGATATATGGAATATAAGACATTTATTGAATTGTAGATCCAGTTCACTCCCCAAGCTAGATTTTGAATATTTTTTAATCACTTTCCTCAGTCATCTCCTAGTCTTCAGATATTAGACAGTTAGCATCACTGAGTAGATCGTTTTAAAAGAAAATCGCGAAAATTACCAGCTTAACGATACACAATTTCCCCTTTAAAGCGACTATTATTTTAGATTTCAACATCGGGAAAGTGATAATTCGGCTTATAAATAATAAAATATATCCATAATAAAGCGATACACGCGCCTATAACGTCAAATTTGATTGTTTTTTTTTTACACATATTTTCGGCGTCGGAACATTGTTTCTCTTTACTATTGTTCACAAACATGTTCGCGCTCGGTTTATTACGAAGAAAGCCGAGTGGGTCACATGGCTTGTCACGTGACGAAGTCATTTACTTCCGCCGCAAAGAAAAAATGGATTACGAGGAAAGTGTAAACAAACGCACATGCTTGTGTATGACACTTGCTTTTGCGCTTTTCTGCTAATTTTTCTTTGCAGTAAATGATTCTATAGTGTTATAATAATTTTTAACAACCAATCTTAGTTATTCGTTTTGTTTAGGCTTGTCGTGCGAGAATTATCTATATATTATCTAAATATATTTACCATATATAATTATAGATGCGATAGGCATTGTTCTTTTAACACCAGATTTTGATATCGTTATTGACGAGAGGCAGGGTAGTATACTAATTTTGTGTTTGTTTTCCAGTACAGCAAAATAAGACCTACTATGATATGAGTGAATCCTTCCTTCAGGATACTATACACGAGGAGTTGACCACAGATTCCTTCATTGATCCTGTCCGTATCACCAACATACAGGTAACAGACATATCTTACTCATAGATATCAGACACAAGCTCTATAAAACACGTAGATAAATGACATATATTATAGATATCAGACACAAGCTCTATAAAATATGTAGATAAATGACATATATTATAGATATGAGACACAAGCTCTATAAAATATGTAGATAAATGACATATATTATAGATATCAGACACAAGCTCTATAAAATATGTAGATAAGTGACATATATTATAGATATCAGACACAAGCTCTATAAAATATGTAGATAAGTGACTTATATATTATAGATATCAGACACAAGCTCTATAAACATGTAGATAAGTGACTTATATATTATAGATATCAGACACAAGCTCTATAAACCTGTAGATAAATTACTTATATATTATAGATATCAGACACAAGCTCTATAAACCTGTAGATAAATTACTTATATATTATAGATATGAGACACAAGCTCTATAAAATATGTAGATAAATGACATATATTATAGATATCAGACACAAGCTCTATAAAATATGTAGATAAGTGACATATATTATAGATATCAGACACAAGCTCTATAAAATATGTAGATAAATGACATATATTATAGATATCAGACACAAGCTCTATAAAATATGTAGATAAATGACATATATTATAGATATCAGACACAAGCTCTATAAAATATGTAGATAAGTGACATATATTATAGATATCAGACACAAGCTCTATAAAATATGTAGATAAGTGACTTATATATTATAGATATCAGACACAAGCTCTATAAACATGTAGATAAGTGACTTATATATTATAGATATCAGACACAAGCTCTATAAACCTGTAGATAAATTACTTATATATTATAGATATCAGACACAAGCTCTATAAACCTGTAGATAAATTACTTATATATTATAGATATGAGACACAAGCTCTATAAAATATGTAGATAAATGACATATATTATAGATATCAGACACAAGCTCTATAAAATATGTAGATAAGTGACATATATTATAGATATCAGACACAAGCTCTATAAAATATGTAGATAAATGACATATATTATAGATATCAGACACAAGCTCTATAAAATATGTAGATAAATGACATATATTATAGATATCAGACACAAGATCTATAAAACATGTAGACAAATGACTTATATATTATAGATATCAGACACAAGCTCTATAAACATGTAAATTACTTATATATTATAGATATCTAACACAAGCTCTATAAACACGTAGATAAGTGACTTATATATTATAGATATCAGGCACAAGCTCTATAAACATGTAAATTACTTATATATTATAGATATCAGACACAAGATCTATAAAACACGTAGATATATTACTTACATATTATAAGAATACTGTTCCGCATCATTAAAAGTAGGGTGACGTAGTAATTGACCTTTGTATTGACAGACTTTAATACTCATTATAGATATCAGACACAAGATCTATAAACATGTAGATAAATTACTTATATGTTATAGATATCAGACACAAGCTCTATAAACATGTAAATTACTTATATATTATAGATATCAGACACAAGCTCTATAAACCACGTAGATAAGTGACTTATATATTATAGATATCAGACACAAGCTCTATAAACATGTAGATATATTACTTATATATTATAGATATCAGACACAAGCTCGATAAACACGTAGATAAATGACATATATTATAGATATCAGACACAAGATCTATAAAACATGTAGACAAATTACTTATATATTATAGATATCAGACACAAGCTCTATAAACATGTAGATAAATTACTTATATATTATAGATATCAGACACAAGCTCTATAAACATGTAGATAAATTACTTATATATTATAGATATCAGACACAAGCTCTATAAACATGTAGATAAGTGACTTATATATTATAGATATCAGACACAAGCTCTATAAACCTGTAGATAAATTACTTATATATTATAGATATCAGACACAAGCTCTATAAAACATGTAGATAAGTGACTTATATATTATAGATATCAGACACAAGCTATATAAACCACGTAGATAAGTGACTTATATATTATAGATATCAGACACAAGCTCTATAAACCTGTAGATAAATTACTTATATATTATAGATATGAGACACAAGCTCTATAAACCTGTAGATAAATTACTTATATATTATAGATATCAGACACAAGCTCTATAAACCTGTAGATAAATTACTTATATATTATAGATATCAGACACAAGCTCTATAAACATGTAGATAAATTACTTATATATTATAGATATCAGACACAAGCTCTATAAACCTGTAGATAAATTACTTATATATTATAGATATCAGACACAAGCTCTATAAAACATGTAGATAAATTACTTATATGTTATAGATATCAGACACAAGCTCTATAAACATGTAGATAAGTGACATATATTATAGATATCAGACACAAGCTCTATAAACCACGTAGATAAGTGACATATATTATAGATATCAGACACAAGCTCTATAAACATGTAGATAAGTGACTTATATATTATAGATATCAGACACAAACTCTATAAAATATGTAGATAAGTGACATATATTATAGATATCAGACACAAGCTCTATAAACATTTAGATAAATTACTTATATATTATAGATATCAGACACAAGCTCTATAAACATGTAGATAAATTACTTATATATTATAGATATCAGACACAAGCTCTATAAACATGTAGATAAGTGACTTATATATTATAGATATCAGACACAAGCTCTATAAACATGTAGATAAATTACTTATATATTATAGATATCAGACACAAGATCTATAAACATGTAGAAAAATTACTTATATATTATAGATATCAGACACAAGCTATATAAACATGTAGATAAGTGACTTATATATTATAGATATCAGACACAAGCTCTATAAACACGTAGATAAATTACTTATATATTATAGATATCAGACACAAGGTCTATAAACACGTAGATATATTACTTATATATTATAGATATCAGACACAAGCTCTATAAACATGTAGATAAGTGACTTATATTTGTTAACCAAATATGTAATACAACATCTATATGAATATGATTTCACAATGTACAACATATATATTTCAGATGGAGCCAGTTAGTGACAAAGAATTCCTGTTTGTGGGAACCTTATTAGATCAAGCGCCCATTATCAACCCGTACATAATACCTCCTGTTTACAACCGTATCACGCTGGAAGCATCCCTAGACTTTCTACATGGAATGGTTGATGGTACCTGGGAAAAAAATGTCACTGGAAAAACAGGACAGGTAACACTAAATTAGATCGTTTGTTAATATCTTTTCGATTGGATTCTTGAGGTTTTGAATCATTTTTCGTTTACTTTAAAGTTATGAAACAAATTTCTCCTTTGCATTGGCACTCAACAGTAACTCCTGTTTTTAAGTTTAAACACAGTTGACGAGAGAGACAAAATTACAGTTAATAACAATTGTACAGCTATTTTTAGCGGCCCCAGATTTTATCAATAATTTTCAACAACATTTATTCAGATTCCACTACACAGCGGAAAGCGCCCAATAGCATTTTAAAAATCGGACTGTTATAAATAGAAATTACACAGACACCTCTTTATGTGTGTATATACATATGGGTTGTCAGATTTTTCACATGCAATGGTATGAAATATGCATTTTTCATGTGTATTTTAAACATTGCTCACCATGTAAGTACACTGCTGAAGGTACAATGTTGTAAGTCACTATACATATATATACAGTAAAGTAATGCACGTGTAGATTCTGACAACACGTTAGTACACAGTTCTGGTTCAGTGAAGGGCCCTTGTTATATACATGCAACATTTTGAATTCACAAGCGTGTTTCAAAAGCTGGATTTTATCTTGATATTTGAAATGACTTCCAGCTGTCATTTTGTACATTGCATTTTAAATATGTTGCAGTGAAATTGTATTTCTGTGAATAAGTCCAGTTTTCATTTTTAAACGGGTTCAAGTATGTCCAGTGTCAAAACTATAGACACAACTTAGAGAGAAGACAATAGACGAAAGTCACGCATCACCTATATAAAGTCTGATCGTGGATACAATGATCGATAATGGATCGATAAATTTTGATTTTAGGCCACGTAACAAGCTTGGTGCTCTCATCTTCGGGCTGAGATATCTCACAAGTTATATGAAATTCTACATGCATGTGTTTTTAATGTGAATGTTTACTGGGCACTGTAACTATGGTAATGGTTAGCGGGATTGTATAAAAATTAGTTGATTCTTTGCACAGGTATGAAAGCTTGCCTACATATTTGGAACTATACTCTGAATATAAACGTTCTTAACTGCGGCCATTTCCAAGCATGGTCTCCCCAAACATAGTAATGATTCGTTTCATTCATTAATCATTACAGTGAGCTAGATGTAAGAATACTTTTCGCATCATTAAAAATAGGGTGACGTAGTAATTGACCTTTGTATTGACAGACTTTAATACTCAGCAAAAGTATTGTGTAACGTTTATTTATCAGATTAATTTGTTTGTTTAGAATATTAAACCTGTGCCTCATATCAACTATGAACCACGTGACACAGTTTGTCTAACTATATAACCGTCAGATTCCAAATTATTAACAGATGAATCATGTCAACTGTAAACCGCTTGAAATAAATTGACTTAATAGCCACTCAATCCCATATTATAAACCAGATGAATCAAGTAAACTTTGAACCACCTGACACAGTTTGACTAAATAAACACTCAATCCCAAATTACAGCTCATGAATCAGAAATGTTACGACACTGTAATATTCCTGCCCGATATGGATAGTGTCATTCAATGTTATTGCATCGCTTCTTTTGGTGTGTTTCTCGTTGTTTATAATTACGTGAAAATAAAACACAATTTTTAAGGTATAACAGCGCTTCTACACGTGGGCAATTCCTTACGATTATTTTTATATACTTTCTAGGCAATAACTATTGTTGGTAATGAAATAGTCGAACTGAGTTATAAACACCTGATAGCTACCACGACGACGAGGGCTACCCAGCCACCAACATTTCTAGTGCCCACGCTTCCACATCCAACGAATAAATCTGGGAATCCCCCAGCTGTTGCCTCATCGACGCCCTCTCGAACCCCAGCTCCACCTTCCATCGGTCCCACAACGCCCTCCACAGTCAGACCAACTCTCAAGCCAACACCGAAACCAACACCGAAACCAACACCTAAGCCTCCGGCAAGACCAGTGACCAAACCAAGACCTTCATCGAATACTACCGATCAGAGTGAGTCTGGCTTTTCATATCTATACAGAAATTTGAAGTCATCTTATCCTATTGCTACTGTCTTGTTTCCGTCGTCTTCTGCAACATATGGACTTTCCATTATTTAAACGTCCTTAATTCCATGAGCGGGATACAGTTCAATCTATCCTCGAATGATCCAGACATGATCCCAACAAGATTTTTTGATATCACGTATCATTTCTTAATCCCTGGATAGGGTTCATGGTCCTATACATACACAGTTTACACTTAGCCTTCATTTCAATGGAGCCATGCAGCGGAAACTTTGTGGTGGTAACTACTGAAAAATTACTTTTTTTCGTCCATGTCACAGATTTAACAAATTTATTTTGTAATACAGTTGCACAATCATTTATTTCAAAATCAAACTTTCACTTGCCTGGAATTTCATGACCATGACGAAGTTAAACAATTTTTATGTCTGCCTTACATCGACTATGGTCGTGATTGCTAGAAATATGGATATTTGCTAAGAACACTTCGAACAATATGCTAACTTAATTGGTTAACTGGATAACAATGACCTTCATCTATACCTAATGAGACATTAGCCATTTCATCTTCTATATGATGACGATACAATATATGATAATAATTATAAAGTTTACAATAAGCAACATACAGAATTAGGGACCAATATAACTCGTTCCATCGAAATGTATTTCAGATTCGATCTCCTGAATTCTAAGAGGAGGGGGTAATTTTTAGCATGGATCAGTGCAACACTGCACATAAAAGCAGAAATACCTTCGTTAGTGTTTTGTCTCCTTATGACAATTAAAGTATATTGCTAGTTGTAGACCTGGTTGTTCTACCGTGATATAAAAATTACCATATACTTGGGATCTTTCTTCTAGTCCTTAATTAACATGACAGACTAACCTATATATTTCACCCCTTAATTAATTTCGTAGACTAAACTGTATACATTACATTTATTATTTGACTTGAAAGACATATATAGAGAACACACGGTCAGTGTCTTTAAATATCAGCTGTATTTTGACGAGGTCAGAGGATCGAAACTTTGGTTTTCTTTAACCTCGCCAAGATACAGCTTATATTTTAAGACACTGACCATGTTTCTATTAATCCTGCAACATTGAATGAAAATCAGACTATTGAAACTTAAACAGTTTTGTTGCCCAATCTTTGTTTATCTGATGTTGACGCTACGCTGAGTTTTGTCTAATGACGGACGTCAAAACAATTGCTCCGCGCGAAAACTCCACATATTAACCTGTATATTTCTCAATATTTATGAACTTGATAAACTATAAACTTAGTCGTTAATTAATTTCACAATCTATGCACACAGATCTATTCAGCCTTTAATGAACTATGAGAGTGATCAGTACATATTTAAGTTCTGTGTATTTGTTGTTAATTAAGTTGATAAAGTAACCATTTTTTTATGTTTCTGTCTCTAGTCTCTTCTGCACTTGTCCTGACTTGAACTGATAGACTCGTCTATATCTATTTCAGCCGTTTGTACCTGTCCTACAGTTACTTGTCCTACAACAATACCTTCATCAACATCTGCACCAGTGACTTGTCCCACAGTACAATGTCCCAGCACACGTCCAGACCAGACTACTAGTCCAAGACCAGTCAGATGTCCGAGAGTTACCTGTCCTTCACATCAACAGCTAAAAACATCCCCCGTGATGCAAACATCGACGACTTCGACAAAATCACATCCTGGTCAACAGTCTGCACAACAAAGTCCCGACAACAGATCTACAGGCATTTCAGGTGGTAAGTTTCTAAACGATATCTATAACTCCCCCGTCGGGAACCAAGAAAATATATTTTCTTATTTTCTTTCGTTGGGAAACCCACCCAACCCCACCCCCACCCGGTACCTTGCCTCCGGACCGGTATCTAGTATTGGTTCGTTTTTGCGAGACGGTGTGTTGTGTATTAAAAGTCGGTCACCCTGGTCCCACATTCCGACCTTTGATCTACATAAAAAAGTTTGTACCGCACACAATTTAACATTTAGTGAGGGACTATACTTCTCTTATATATCTTGTTTTGTTAGCGTCTATTAATACTTTAACAACATGTGATGTGTAAAGCATCAGACTCATGGTCTGTTACTTTTATTGACCTCCGAACAATACTCCGCCAAGGCAACACTATGGAAGAATACTTTATGAGAACATTTAAATGAAATATCATTTCGTAAAAGTATAATGAAATAAGTATGGAGTATGTCAGTAAACGGGATTACACTGGTACTGAAGGAGTACACACTGTAATGCCAGCAGTTGTTCACGTCTGATTTACCATTGACATTGGTTTATCTGACACTAACCACTAATCACACAATGGTAAGTACAGAAACATTAATGGAGGGGCTTATCTGACGTCAATGGATTTTGATTATAAGTGATGGTTTAAGAAAAACTGTTGCATTTAATGCAAAATAAACGATGTTTATTATTTTGATGAGCAGTTTATTTTCTTTTCATCTATAAAGCCAAGGAAATTAAATTTAAAACTTGGAAGGTAGACTCGATATATACGACAGAAATAAGACTTCAGGAATCAGTTGTCTTGCCCAGAAAAGAAGCATTTATCTATTCAGGGTGATTACAAGAACCTCATGTAACGTACTATGGTGTTGAAATCTTCACTTTCAAGCGTAACGTGAAATTTGAAATAATTTGTTTTATTTTCATCAGCATTTTTTTTCTTATTATGGTGGCTGATTCGGAACATCGTAATATCGCTTCGTTTAATGGGAAGCGAGATTGCGATATCACGATACCACGATGCGATATCACGATAGCGCGATGCGAGACCACGATAGCGCATCGTGTTATCGTGATATCGCAATCTCGCTTCCCATTAAACGAAGCGATATTACGATGTCCCGAATCAGCCACCATACCTCATAGACTGACTGTCGGTATTTTATGTTGGATGATTCGGGACAATGTAATATTGTTTTGCCTAATGGAACGTGATATTGTGAGATCACGATACCGCGAAGCAAGACTACGATACCGCGAAGCGATGCCACGATACCACGAAGCGAGACTACGATACCGCGAAACGAGATCAAGATACCGCAAAACGTCGAAGCGAGACCACGATACCGCGAAACGAGACTACGATACCGCGAAGCGAGACTTCGATGCCGCGAAACGAGACCAAGATACAACGAAGCAAGACTACGATATCGCGAAGCATGACCACGATACGACGAAGCGAGACCACGATACGACGAAGCAACGACGAAGCAAGACTACGGTTCCGTGAAGCGAGACCACGATACCGCGAAGCGCGATTACGATACGGCGAAGCGAGATTACGATACGGCGAAGCGAGACTACGATACGACGAAGCGAGACCACGATACCGCGAAGCGAGACCACGATACGACGAAGCAAGACTACGATACCGCGAAGCGAGACCACATTACGGCGAAGCGAGACCACGATACGACGAAGCGAGACCACATTACGGTGAAGCGAGACCACGATACCGATAAAACTAACTCTACTCGCTTTGCTGTATCGTGGTCTCGCAATATCGCGTTCAAATTAAACAAAAACACATTGTCCCGAATCAGCCACCGTAGTATTTACATTTACGTATTCTTAAAGTAAGATCTGCACACGTGTGTTTATTATCGGCCCTGGTAGGAGTCTTCTTTTCTTTGTCACAAGGGCATAGTCATGACAGTCGTATTTAAATTTAGGCGTCTACGTTAAAAATGTATTACTTAAGTAATCATTTATTTAAAGACAGTGTTTGATTCCAGTTCTAAATTATTCAAAAGTACCTAAAATTATAAGCAAGTGATGCCAGTTAGATTTCGTAAGAACCAGGCCCCACTTGTATAAAACTGATATCTCCTCAACAACGGCTTGTATAAAATTTTCTCAAGGAACAGGAGGAAGTCATCGGCTAGGATGTCCTGAAATTCCTTGAGGAATTTTCATACAAGATATTTTCAAGGAGATATTAGCTGAGGAAAATCTCGACTTGAGGAAATCACAGGTTAAGATGTTTTATACAAGTGGGGCCTATGGACTCATCGCTAAAATCTAAGGCATGCTACCCGAATCGGCTCAAGCTTTAGCCATGTTCTTAAAGCCAAGCATGAATCATCCTGTGTTGAAAGGTCAGTAAGTGCTATTTCAAAGTTATGAATTCCATCTCCTGCATGCCTTGCTTTCTTTGGGAGGGGGATGACTTCAGTTTGGTGTTTATCATAGGAATATGTTAATCGATATGTATGGTAACACATTTTTGTCCTTTATATTGAAGTGATTATTTTTAAAGCTTTGTTCGATTTTGTTGGCAAGAAACAATGTTCCCACATTTGCATTACATGAAGTCAAAATTCTATATAAAACAAATGTATCATTCTGGCCTTTTTTATAAGTTTCAAATCGAAAATAAGACACGGCTAATGTTCTTTTTACTCAACAAATGGAAGATGTTTAGTCCGATACTGCAGCCTCATATACAGGATGCGTTCGCTTTCGGTATCGATTTATTTTCGATGTTTTACGTTATTCCACATTGAATTAAACATAGATACAAATATGTCTTTCAGAGCACATCTGTACTCCTAAATCAACAAAAATATTCAACCCACTTACTTACATCCTCGGGTAGTGTTCTAATATTAGAATGAACACTCCGAAACCCCTGTTATCATTTTAATACAATGTTATTCCTTAAAGAGGTATCGGATGTTAATAAATTATAATCTACTTTCTTCTTTTCGAAATTTTGCATAAAATAGTTACATTGTATGAGAATACTGATATATCAAAGATATATCATGACAAAAAAGTACTTACTTATGTTTTATTGTTACTTTTGTGTTTATTCTGTTCATCGGACGCTTAAAGATGTCCATGAGTTAAATAAATGTGTGATTCTGCTTTGGACTGTGTCAATATATAATATGAAATTTATTTGCTAAGCTAATTATGACAGCTTTAACTCTTTAGGTCATTCTTGCTGCCAAAGTTCGTTAAGAGTCATTGTCATCAAAAAAAACTTAAATACGCTAATTGTAAAATGAACTAAACCATCCTTAACGTATTCATTTTTGTTCCTGTAGGCGCAGCTGCTGGTATAGCTATGGCAATGCTGATTGTAGGGCTGGCGATTGGTTTCATTGTTACGAGATTTTATCATGTTCGGAACTTCAGAGGTTTATTACAACGAAATCCTAATGATTATGAGGATGATATAAATTATTAATACAGAATATAACTAAATAACGGAGAGAGAGAGAGAGAGAGAGGGAGAGAGAGAGAGAGAGAGAGAGAGAGAGAGAGAGAGAGAGAGAGAGAGAGAGAGAGAGAGAGAGAGAGAGAGAGAGAGAGAGAGAGAGAGAGAGAGAGAGAGAGAGAGAGAGAGAGAGAGAGAGAGAGAGAGAGAGAGAGAGAGAGAGAGAGAGAGAGAGAGAGAGAGAGAGAGAGAGAGAGAGAGAGAGAGGGGGGAAGAGAGGGAGACACACACACAGCACCGACCTAACTACATGCTTTCATCCTCAAAAGTTCTCTTAAGTTAATTTTGATTCTAGATCCTTTATTTTGTAAGAGTTCACGTTGTAACGTTTTGAATGATTTCTTGTTAATTAAGTTATCATGATGATACGTAGTTAGAATAGTTACATTATTATGAAAGTGTGAACGCCGTGATAATAAATCAGTATTTTCTTGAATGGTGATGGTGATTGTGACGTAACAATGATGATAATGGGAAATACATAAAAAAACTGTGATCCAGTGTTTGTATCCGTGGTAAATTTGTCTCTAGCACAGTGTTAATATGACTTTTTACATTTCGTAGTAAATCAGTTTTGTTTGTTGTAAACATTTAACCAATAAAATGTTTTCTGAATGTAATACTTGTTTATATAATTGTATGTGACCTACATAATTCGAGGAGAGATCTTGTTGAATTCATCCATTAAACATTTGACCGATCACCCCCTGCAAGTTTAATGGCCGGTTCGTGTCGATGCGACTGGTCAGTTTCTTGCTGGAAAATGGTACCATGTGGATTGCTAAAACTACTGGTCTCAACATGTCGTTTCGATATCGAATACTGGTTTAAGTGGGTTTTTTTTTATCAAAACAAGTCTAGTAATGAACTCTGTGCTTTCCGTGACCATGTTAAAAAAAGTCGGTAAAGAAAATAGTATTGTTCCAAAGTCAGTCATATTGTGAACTCTTGTCCATTAACTGCGATGATTACGTTGATTTCCTAACAAAAATGCAGTAAGGAAGAGTAGCGTTTTGAAGTATAAATATTGACCAAACTTCCCTATTTTGGGCCCTGTCCCCTAGGGGTCGAATCAATTTTCTGAATAGAAGTGACTTCCAAACCCTAATGACGTGTAAGACCTAATCTGATTGACTCACACAAGGATGCGTCAGACAAAATTAGGTTGAAATCCATCAAGGCATGTATAAGGACTAACACTTTGAAAGCTTATACACGACGGACGTTGACTGACTGAGCCAATAGTGATACAATAGGAAAGAGATATAAACATGAACTCGTCAAAAGTTATTGATTTTGTTTCCATGGAAACAGGCATAGTATCCCTTTTCTTACGTCCTGGCCACCTTTACATCAGCACCCAGAGACGACGGAAGTGAAGTGTCCAAACTCTCGCGAGATTCTGCACAGATGTAGTGATAGTTCGTGATTTCTTTTAAACAGCTATATTTAGATATTCCATAAACTTACTCTACACCGTTATCCTAAAATGAACGTGTTACAAGTTGGGTATATCATGTTCAATAATGACAGGAAACCTGTGGCGAGTTCTGACCATAACTTATTGTAGACATCGAAAGAGTATGGAATCTGTGTGTGGCACAAAGTTCGCTGACAAACAGATGTGTCTACATTTTGATATTGACAGATCGATAGTTAGGTGAAGTTTTACTGGTTCGTAGGTATTTCAAGGTTACTGTTACAAAGCGTTTGATCCACCCGTCGGTCAGTCAAACAATGACCGGAACTTACAAATACTGCGAAATCAAAAGAACCAATAAAATAAGACATAAGATTGTGACGTAAGATAAATTTAAACTGACCAATGACCACCCGACACTATATAAGGCGGCAATAACGAGACTGACCACTTAAGTATACGCGTGACTAGCGAACAAGATACAGTATAAACAAGATTTAACAATTACGGACACAATACAATTCACATCATATTAAAAGTCGATCCTGCTACATACGAGAAGATGGCACGACAGTAAAACGAACCGGAGCAATGTATAGAAGTAAAATCTCACAAAATGTTGATTTTGATGATTTTACAGAATATAAAATACATCAACACTTGATTCAATGACGACTCTGATTGGTCAGTATCTTAAGAATGTTCTAACCCAACGTTTATACAAAATACAAAACGACGTTTCATACCAAAATGGGTCAGAATCCAGGCATTCCTACAAATGAAGAAGAATTTTAAAGAAGTTGGTCCGAAGGAAACATGACAGATGTCTTTATGAAAGGTGAATGGCAATTTTTTTCATCGGTTATGTCAACTGTAAATTTGTTAGGCCAGTGAACTCGTAAACATGGGCCACCTTTACTCAAAGCTACTTGCAGAAGTACGCTCAAAACCACTCAGTTTGTTTAGATTCATTCATGATAATGAGATAAAGTGGACATCCAGTCGATAATCTCTTGGGGATTTCATTTGTATTACAAACGACTTCCACAGAAATATCATACTTACATCCTCGCTATTCCAGGGGTTCTACCGAGTCACTTTCGATCCGTGAAACATGTCATGGCAATGTTGAAGGTTCCCTGTACGACACCTTGCGGACAAGACGAAAAGGTTAGTTTGATACTTTGATGTACATCAAACGAATCTCGGGGTCGCATATCGGTATATTGTTATGGTTTTGAAATTGGGTGTCGCATCTTTGTAATCTTCAAAAGAAACGTATCAGACTGTGATTGGTCAGATTTTTTCTCCTGGAACCAATTAAGTTATTTCGTTTCTGCTTTCAATTTAGCCATGGCTTGTTCCAGGGGTACAGAGAGCGAAAGTGATCAAACCCCTGGAGTACCGAGGATGCCTATTTACTGCAGACATCTACGAAGTCAATATTTCCTCCTTTGCTATGATCGACCAATTTTCCTTACCTGTTAGACGAATCCACCTAGTCGGTTAATTAGATTTGCTCTATTATCGAAATATTCTGAACAACTATCAATGTATTAACACTAAATGTAACGATCCTCTGTTATCTAAGGAATATTTGATATATATCACAATTGTTCAGCTACATAATTACAATTAATGGTATTTCATTCTTGTAACTCGTATTTTTTTCCTGTTTTTAATCAGTGGAATCCTATAATGAAACAGAGTGTCTAATGTTTTCGTATTCAGTGTTACATCGTAACCGTCATTCACATCAATCACAGTTAAATTCTTTTCTGTACTTGTAGTATTTTGTATTCATGTCATGCGAAAGGTTCGCCTCTGATTATACAGATCTTATATTGGAAGTCCTACTGTGCAGTGTCGTGGGTGGGGTTACCATCGTCCTTACATAACTATCAAAATGTTTTTATGGAATTTCAGTGTGTTCACAAGAGGAAGTCAGCTCCATTCAGATTAATAATTAGCAAGTCGGAAGATATTTACCGGGGTTCGTAAAATCAGGGACGTATAGTCCCTGGTAAAATACAGTCGATACATTGTCTTGAAAAAACATGTCCCAAGTTGAAATAGGAAAGATTTGGAAGAATTCTATATTGACATCTGGTTTCTTAACATGGTGATGGACTTATGTCTTACTACATGTCGTTATACGTACTATTCGAGCAATACACTAACTACATCCGTCCCGGATTAGGAAACCCCTATATATATTAACAACGGACACCAGTTTCCGCTGTGTATGGTTAGGATGTAACCCCTCTTCACAACACCATACCGCTTCGTGTCACCGTCATTGTAAACATGGTGAGTCCTCTACTAATTATTACATATTACATTAGTAATGACGTACGTGTGATATTTAATGTTGTTTTGGTTTTATTTAGTGTTAGTCAAGGGTCTGGTGAAAACGATGATTACAAAAACTCTTATCCATAACTTCTTAAATAAAATGTGGCACAGATACATAAAATATTATCAATCAAATTTCGTAATCGAGGAAAGAATGACTTTCTTCTTTTAAGATGGCGGCCATTCACAGGTTTAGATATAGAACAGATGTAACATTCGATATTTCTTTTCAGATACAAAGTTAAATATTGTATTTTATGTTGAAGTTTAAATGTACAAACTATTTCATTGTTTTATCAAAAGCCACGAATTCCCATTCATATTCTTTAAAATTGACGTTCATTGAATTAAAAAAAAATTAAGATATTGATAAGTATGACGTTTGCCATGCTTTTTATACATAGAGCATTAGTGGTACATTTAGCAAGTGATAAACTTAGATAGTGGTAAACTTAGATGTGGTACACTTAGATAATGGTAAACTTAGCTGGTGAAAAAATTAGATAGTGGTAAACTAAGATAGTGGTAAACTTAGATAGTGGTAAACTTAGATAGTGGTAAACTTAAAGAGTGGTAAACTTAGATAGTGGTAAACTTAGATAGTGGTAAACTTAAAGAGTGCTTAACTTAGATAGTGGTAAACTTAGATAGTGGTAAACTTAAAGAGAGATAAACTTAGATAGAGATAAACTTAGATAGTGGTAAACTTAGATAGTGGTAAACTTAAAAAGAGTGATAAACTTAGATAGTGGTAAACATAGATAGTGGTAAACTTAAAGAGTGCTTAACTTAGATAGTGGTAAACTTAGATAGTGGTAAACTTAGATAGTGGTAAACTTAAAGAGTGATAAACTTAGATAGTGGTAAACTTAAAGAGTGCTAAACTTAGATAGTGGTAAACATAGATAGTGCTAAACTTAAAGAGTGGTAAACTTATATAGGAATAAACTTAGAGATTAACTAAGATATGGTGAGTTAAACTAAGATACGGTTAACTTAGATAGAGATAAACTTACATTAATAGGGCATTAAAGTTAATCAACATGAACGCTGCTAAACATGAAAGGTTGTATGTTCAATAACATACCCTTTGTACCTCTAATTTAGGACTTAGATTTACATACAATGTCCTCTCCTTTTCTCCAAACAAGTTTCTACCTCTCAGATAATAACAACTATTGAAAACTTGACTATGTGGTAACATATGCTTAATACAATCGTAACAGCATTACCTCCTTCCAAAATAAAAAAAAAAAATCGATTTAAGTTTGGATTTAAAAAATCGTTAACATGAAGATAGTGAAATGTTTTTATGTACAAATTGGAGTTAAATGTAGATAAATATTAACACTATGAATGCAAAATGTTACAATATTTAGGCACATAACCCCCCCCCCCCAACCCCCCTTTCTTTTTCGTTGATGGTAATACAGAAACCGTTTACTGAATTTTGTTTCTTGCCCACGAGTGTTACTCGCTTTTGTGAAAAGTTAGTGTTAACACAATATATTGACAATATGTGTACTTTACATCTGTAGGATATGCGTGTGACTATATTTGTTACCGTGGTTTCCGGTTTACTGTCCTCCGTGATTTGCCAGACCACGCCCCCAATGACGTATGTTACCGGATCGAATGTGTGCGTTGTTAATGTGACGTAAGTGATGTCCTGTTCTCTCCTAACATATATTTCTTTATTCATTTTTAATCGAAGCTTCTTACGGGTGTTCAAAGAAATATACGCTTTATTTTTATCTTTAAGAATCTATTTTGCTAAATTATGATTAAATAAAACCTTTGATTACAATGTTGATTTGTATGTCAATGGCCGTAGCGACTAATACAACAGCTAACATGATTACATCTTGACTAATTGAGATAATCTGACCACATGGAAACATTTTACCGAGACTCGACCTAGCTATATGGAGTTACCTCCCATTAACAAATGTTGAGTAAACGTTTTATTTACTTTTATACAATCATCAATTGACAATCAGATAAAGTTGATCAAAATAAATACTATCATATTCTACTTTTAATAACGTTATATATATATCAATATAGTCTTTTATATATCGTTGAAGACGCTTCTTCTCCGTTCAATAAATTATACAAGTATGCATATATACCTGCACCCTCAGTTCTGAAAAAGTCGGTCTTTCGGACTGATTTTCAATGACATTGAAAGGCGTGTGGTAGGAGAGATATTATATTGAACTAATTCCTATTCTATCAACTGAAAAAAAGGTATTGATAGTTTTGGGAATACAAACATAGACTAAAACGCATCTTACAGGTATTAAGCATAATTTTTCTACATGTTGGATGCATACCGGGAGTAGACACGGTTACATTTTAAATATACTCGTTATTAATGTTCGAGAACTGATTCGCATCTGCTTACAACAGTTTTACCACCTGGACATACGAATCATCATCGTCAACAATGTCAGATGGAATGGACCGTCCATAAATCTCGCGAAATAGGAATCTTTTACCGTTCCAAGCTTACCTATTGTTGATAGGGAGCATTTTCTCCAATGATTTTCACGCGATTTCACTACACCCAATTGTGTTTCTAGTTCCAAGTTCCAACAAACGTTTTAAAACGACCTCACACCTTTCTTGCTATGATCATTACTTAGCGTTGTATAGTCAAGGTATAGGTCTATCCCTCTTTAAACAGCATTATTAAATTGTGTGTAAACGTCCTTAATTGTAGCCCGTTCGCTTATTGTTTCTTCCATTTTTCTGGTTGTTTCACGCAGCTCAACTTTCGCTTCAGAATTTTTATTTAATTTTTATTTTTATTTTTTTTTTCAAGTTATTTCACACATTACGTAAAGACCAGACTGTATACACACTGGCTTTCTCACATAAAATAATATACATACATAAGGATGTGTAACATGCATCATCATCATCATTTTACTGTTATTTACAAATTTTTGAACCAGGAAATGATCTTTTATAATATTGATAAGTCAATTGAGATTTAGGGATTTGATGAGGCATCTATTTTTGTAGCTATAAGGTGCGATAAGAATTAAAATTTCATTCTCAATATGATTACAATATTGTGCTACTATGCCAAAAAGAAACGAATCCTTGATGTAAGCAAACCAAATTGGTAATAAGTCGAGAAGAGTTTCAAATCTCGGAAGTAAAATTTTGCACTTCTTGTCATTCCCATAAACAACGAAATATTGTCTCATGTTCCATGTTACATAACGTGCACGAAGGACTAGCAGTTTATTTTATAAAGAAAAGTGTTTGTAGTCAAAATATGATGTATTACTCTAAACTGGAACCACTGTAGTTTTCTACTTTTAGTGACTGGAAAAGGAACTGTAAATATCTTAGCCCATACTATATTATTACACTGCTATCGTTAACATTTCCCACACCTCCAAATGAAACCATGCATGACATTTGGATCCTCACTTACGCATCAATTATGAAACCACCTACTACAACCAACATCGCAAGTTACCATATCGTCATTTAAAACCATTAGAATTATGACATCACTCTGCTTCACAATCAATAAAAATATCGAAATTTTTGAATAGTTTTCTTATTCTTAAACTTACTCGTTTTATTTTCTTAGGAAATTCTGCGAAAATACGTTTTGAAATACATTCAGCGAGATGTTGCCTTACACAGTTTTTATCAAAATATAAATCTTGTATCCCAATAAATCCACAGCGAAACAAAATCCTACCAAGGAAAGCAATAGCGAAAACCCCACAATCAACCCCATTGGTTTGTTGCTGCACGTTTGGAACAATAGTTTTTAAAACTTTAATTTTTATTTTTCTCGTAATGTTACGATACCTGCATTTCTAAAGAAGCTGACAAAGGACCCTCTTTAACGTACTTGTACCTCTCCAGAAAAGATAGACAAAGTTGAAAAACATGAGAGAACGCCTTGCATTGCAAAAGCTCTGTAAGAAAATGAAGAAAACAAAGGACTTAAAGAGCAAAACAGCTTGATATCAATCAATATCTAAATATATAGTTTAGGACAAGACAAGTCGAAAATACCACTCTGTATGGTCATATCCTGCGTTACAATACCTAAACCCGCTTGGGATACGAAGTATGCATTCTATGTGTTTTTTTAGATAGCCTGTATTACAGTATAAAATTACTCTGTCGGTGTGTGTTAACATTTTCCATGAATTATATATAATTCTTACAAAAGGACATCACGCACGCACGCACGCACGCACGCACACACACACACACACACACACACACAGGATATAGTAACGTGATGAAACATACACGGTATCACACAGTCAGCAGTTCTAGATCGCACCCAGGAAGCACTGGGTCCACTTCAGAGTTATTCATGTAACATCATGTACAAGTTCGTCTACGGTCATTGGCTTACTTCCGGTAACGAACAACCACAGTACAAGTTCCAGAGGATTTGTTGACAAATTTTATCCATAAACTGACTTCCTCAAAGTTGTCTATTTCTGAAAGGTTACATAACTGTAGTGTAGTGCTTCCTTTATCTTTCAAACATCTGAACATATCTGAAGTATTGTTTTGACAGGTTCCTGCAAACACGGCTGGTGACGTTCAGACAAAGAATGGTGTACTATGTTAAGTGTAGCTGGAACAAACGATGTGCAAGGTCAGTATCAGATAACCGGCGATGTCGTGTGACATCTTCTTTTACCTCTTCAAAACAGATTCTGGTTGGAAGTAAATTGATAGTAAAATTAAAGAAAAGTAGATTCAGGAATCCTTCTTGGTTCATATTGACACGTTCTTCATTACTTAAACAAATTGACTATAAATTACAACATAATATACACAAGTTTTTCTTCTCTATGTACTGTGTTAAGTTCTTGTTCAATTATATATAAATGGATTGATATGGAACACGATAAACAACAACATGTTTATGTTCACAGAATTTATTTTTGAGAAATAGCAAAAATTTTATCAAAGGCAACATTCTTCAGTTTTGTCTTCCTATTTAATTTTGCGATGTTGTCATTAAACGTTTAACAAAATTTTACAAATATTAGACGAGTACACAAAAACGAACTCTACTTAGAAAACAATCTTTGTTTGCAACTTTTAAAGAGTAAAAAAAATATATTTTCGAAGGTATAGAACTCAGCTGAAATCGAAGACTGTTATCAGCGATTCCTGGAGGTTCGAACCAAGATGTTGTGAGGGGTTTATTCAATCTGAAGACAGATGTCAGAAAAGTAAGTCCTAAGTAATCTATGTTAAAATTATAGCTATGTCAAAAATTATCATACAGAAAGGTGATCGGACATGAGCAATGTGTGAGAGTTTGGAGTATGACTTTAGTCGACCTTCGAGTATTAACTGTACGATCTATTTTTGTTGATATGTGTTATGTTCATTGCAATAAAGTAGAAGAACAAACGTGTTGAGCTTCTACTTCACTTGTTTTGTTTTCTTATCGAAATGGACTAAATTGTTAGATATTCAATTCATAACTCTTAAAAAATTATAGGATTTAAATATCTGTTAAAAAATTTGTACTTTCTGTTAATTATCATATTTTAAAGTTTGCGCAACCGTTTCATTAACAAGATAAAAAAATAAAATAAAATAGGAGCGACCCAACACTAATTCATATCATTATTGTTAGGAGAGTGTAACAATGTCTTTGCGCGTGTAATTTTAGATTATGATTAATTCACATTCATTTACTTTGCCCTGTCCGGCGTAAAGCGTGAAACAAGAGGTCATTTAAAAAGTAACATTTGAAACTTGGCTGTCAAATTAAGTTTTAGCTAATTACATAATTATACATAGTAAGGAATCATATCAAAACGGCGGGTTAAAACGAGGCTCCGAAAGGTCACGTAATGAACTCGATTATCTCAGATCAATACAGCGATTGGAGGTAGACACAACAGCGAGTGTCGACTAGTTTTAGTTTGAAGTTGTTTATTTTTATCAATTTCTCACAGAAAATGTTAAAAGTTTATGAAGAGTCTAATTTTACGTACCACAATGCTTGCCCGAAATCAAACGCATGGAGAAAAATAACGAAATCTTAACACTTTTAGGAACAAAAACATTGATGCACATTATAAATTAATTAAAGTAGCACGCTGTTGTTTTTGTATTCCAAACAAAAGTCTAGGAACTAAAATAGATTTTATGTGATGTATATTGAGAGTACACCTAGGTTTAAGTCGTATATTATTACTTAGCAGGTATTTTGTTTGTGAAGAATGTAGACCCTGTAACAACATATATATAACAATCTATGGGACCTCCTGCATTCAAATTACAATGTATATAGCATTGTGACCTTTGGAAACAAATATACTCTCCTTCCAAAACATTATAGACAATATCAGAAATACAGGGTAAAATTTAACCAGAACAAAAAAAGTATTTATTTGGAACTCGTTTTGAAAAAGCACACTCAAAACTATGTCGAATTACAGTTGTTGTATAAAGTCTAGGTGTGATCGTTTTTACAGCAGTTGCAGATAAGATTAAAAAAGGCGACACAGGAACTGACGTCATTGACCACTCAATATGGCCGCCAATCATCGGATCTGTTCTGGCTGTTGTCGCAATATCTGTAGCTGTCATTATCATTGTGTTTCTACACAAAGCAGCTTCAAAAAAGTAAGTATTAATATTTCATGATAATGCCGCCTTTTATCGGGATATTGTGACTAACATGATATTAATAGGATCTATATCCTGTTTACGGTATTTCCACGACAATGATGAGTTTTTGTATGTACCACCAACAAGACAGTCATAAGATTGATGTAGAAGTTGTGATATTTGTCTGGTATTATTATTGTTATAGTCGATAGTATTGCTTTCTTCCTTTGTGCCTTAGTACATTCTGCGTACTAAAGATTGTTAGACTGAAAAAATATCTTATATAATAGTGGCGATGTTGGTCCATCTTAGCACATCACGGTAGATGAAACGAATGATACTAACATAGGTTATTTGAGTACAGATATATATTTTTTATATTTGTTTTCTTATTTCTGTTATTAAGCGTCTGTGATTTGTCTTGTTTTCTAGGAAAGGTGAGTTTGGCGGCGGCATCCACACTGGTAGTAAGTGAACGCCATTCTTTCCTTGAGGATTTGTTTCCAGCTTTTTATCTGATTCTTAATTCTAAAAAATGTGACAATTTTCTAAAGGTCGACATAAATTTAACACCAGTTTTTAATCGTTCAGAAAATAATGTTTTGAAAGTCAACTTTTTATTTTTTCAATCTTAATTGAAAAATGTACGAATCTGATAGAATTGCCAATGTGCCCTGCTAAAAGGTTGGTGACCAAATTGTTTCATGTATTGCAGAGCGACATGCCATAAACAACCAAACGTACGCGGACGCCTTACCGTCTGTTAGTCACTCTTATGATACAGTGGATAGTAGGAGGCATCACTCGTACGAAATGTTGGATAGCAGTCGAGTTGGGATGACTCAGAACATTTACGATAGTATTAACACATACAAGATCCTACAGAGTGGTTCGATAAAATGAAAATCCGATCTACCCACTATGGTGATTTCAAGCGTCCTAGATTGCGATATATTCCAGTTTTCGTGAAGAGAAGTAGTCTTCTGTTATTTCAAGCAGACCGCTGCTCAAAATGACTTTTTCTGTTGGAAAATAGTTCTGTTGGAATTATCTTCATGTTGCAACACACGACACCAAATTATTTCTTTATCACTTTACGATTTTCCTCTATATAATAAAAAAACTTTATTTATTTTACAACAATCGCGGAGCAAGTTTTTCCAATTTATATTAATAAAATTATTATTAATATAACATATTAATAATCAGTCTTGTTGGCCCGGATGGAAAGGTCTTACTGTGGGAGAAATCTGGAGTACTCGGGGAAAACCCGCGTGGTCAGACAGGTGACCCCATACCTTTTCACATCCATTCTGGAAATCAAACTGTGGACGGCTAGGTGAAAGACGATTGTATTGCCATGCGGGACCCGAACATCCTATTCTCTATATTTTCCTATAGTGAATAAAGTCTGAAATTCCAGATGTTTGCCCCAGAACAAATAGAACATGTTGACAGATTACGTCGCTATCAATTTCTGTTCGATACTTCCTGGTCGTTACTAGACACGTTCAGTCATTAAGCCATAGGTTCACAACAAATAAATGACGAGAATATTATACATACCGTTTAGCCGCTTTTTTTTGCGGGGATAATATTTTGACTATATCATGTTACAATAAAATGATCGCAAAAAATTTAGTCCCTGAAATAAGGAAACACGTGTGTATGAGATGTCCTTTTACATCCAGAATGCGAATTTTTAATTCGTTAAAATATAAATCAATCGTTTTAGAGGAAACTTGCGAAAATTTTGACCCGTGAAAATTATTAATTGTTCGGTATGCAATATATAGCATGAAGAAATTGACATTATCATCTTATTTCAGTATCTATGGGCGGATTTACAGAGATGTTCAAAGTTTCGCATGTAATGTCCCAGTGGTTGACGTCTGTAGATAGCGACAGTTCAAAAAAAAAGAGCAAACTCATCAACAGTCATATTTACAATTGCGCTTACCTATCCAATATTATTTAAACTATCACAAAACCTTTTGTAATTACCTTTGTTGTATAACCAAACTTGTCGTGGAAAGTTTGAATTAAATGTATTATGATTAAAACATCTAAAATGTGTAAATAGGACCGTGATATCTTGTATCTGCTGGTAAACAGATTCTCCTACAACAACTTTCTTATCAACATTTACATCACGTGCCAGCGACAAATCTTATAGAGAAGAGGAGTGTTCTGTAAAATGATAAGGTTCCTCAGTAAATTGATTGAAGTTGTATTTATACATTGAATCAATAATACGACCAGGAATAGTAATCTAAATGCCTCCATATTGTTTGTAATTGATTGTAAATTGTTCTATAAAACAATACAGGTATTTGGCATCGTGGAAATGCATACTAAATCAAATTTCATTATGAGAATTTACACATGGGTAAATATTTCGGGATTTTGATACGTGGATGTTATGTTTCGTTTGTAAACTTCCATCTATGGACTTCTAAAGACGCTGGCCGTTTAAAATGTCGCGTGACTAATTGTTATTCTGTTATCCCATGTAACAACACCAAGTAATATGTATCACAAGGTTCTACCATGGTTCCGGATTACTTATGAAACAGCACTTATCTATTACACACGTTGATCTATTTTCTCGCCAACACAACAGAAAGTCACTACACCTACATTATATAGGAAACGGTAACAAGTGACAGTTAACTGAATAATGTACGATAATTTATCTTACTTGGTATCAAACCATTTTACTATACATTATACACAAAACCAAAACGCGTTCGCAGCGCTAGAAAAACAGGAATGGACAATCAGCAAGAACATTCATATATATCCCAGGAGAACAGGAGAGAATATTAATTAATGAAACCACATTGCTTATGAAGAACTGAGCCATATCTCGCTGTAACCTCATTTGAAATATGTACCGAATATCATTTTAGTATCTGAAGTTAATATATGAAATAAGGTTAAATGATTGTGTAACTGACTGTACCTTAATAAACAGACATATTTAAGAATAACACAAAATATCAGTAATATTATTCATACGATATATATTAACTGTACGAGAACTCATCTATATAGGAACATTACCTTTTATGGTATGAATGGATTAACTGACGTCAGAAAAAAGATATTCTGATAACAAGCAACATGGATAACAATACGCGGTCATGAACGTACGTGTCATTAACATAAGATGACTAAACACTACAACAGGAAACAGAGATGAGAAAATCCCCTGAGTAGTCTCGTAAGTCAGTATAAATAAGCTTTAGCTTTAATTCTGCTTTCCATTAGTAATTTTTTCCACCAGGAGACACGAAGTTAAAGGTGAGATTTATTTTAATGAACAAGTGTATATATTGTATGTGTAGAATAATTTCACCTTCAGTTTTAGAGTGTCACTTCAGGCTTTATTTCAAAACGATATTTTAGGATATATAAAAATCAGGAATGGCTATTCTTTCAAATGTTGAACCTTAGGTACAAAGGATCTTGTACATATCATGTATTTGATTCCAGACGACGTGTTTCTTATTGAGTAACAATTCCGTTTCTAGACTTTCTTTTTTTTTTAATCACACTTATTTGTGGATAAAACTGAAATGAATTACGGCACGTCTCGAATTCAAAATGGCGCGAGTGAATTTTTTCTCTAATGAAGGATTCAAGTTACGAGTTAATCGGAAGGCTGTATTTATAATGACGTCAATCTCTTATAAACAGCTAATCAAAAACATGCTTTAAATAAGGCTCTTAAGAGGGTTACCACAAATAAGTTAGGGGGCGATATAAAGGAAAACAGTTCTGTCGCCACATCAAATTACATTTATTGTGACTATACATATAGCATGCATTTTTTCATCTCCATGATAATGAGGAAATTTTTACTGTTGTGATATATATCTATATTTTTCAGAGATATGGGGATCTTTCCTCTCTTATTTGTCGCATATGAGTTTCTCATCTGCTCCCGGTCAGCTACAGGTCAAGTAAACAGCAAGTCAGGACAACATCAGGGCCCTGGAGTTGAGCCCTTGATGACTCACACCAATCAAAAAGTCTTAACTAATAAAATGGAGTCACCTATCTTTGCAACCCTTCATGGTCATAATATTTGCAACGAAACTATTGAGTAAGTTATTAAAACTTGTTTTAAACTAGTGTCATTATATTCATACAGAGGCGTAACTAAATAAGAAAAACTTCCATGTTTTTTTATTATTTCATATATTATTGTTATACAAGGTTTATATTTCTACAAATTTTGTCTGATTTTATATCTTTGTTACTTATAAAAACTTTCATTTTGATTCATATTTCAACCATCTATCTCATAGTTCTGTTATAGTACTAATTGTTCTTATTCACGTGTAACAACGCTTAATACCTACGTAAGCTTTTGTTACATTTTGATACATTTTTTTTTATTTTTCATCTACTCTACCATGTTTTGTTATAGCCATAGACATGAACATATATTATTGGAAATTAAAAATTTTGAAAAGCTAGCTCTTTGTGGTATTTGAAGTGACGGTTATTCTGTTCCGACAATATGAATTCGGCATCAACCAGTTGATACTTTGATATTATTATCAACTCCACGATCTTCTAGCGCTTGTTACGTATATGATTTGCATTTCTTTGAGAAAGAAATATTGCATGAGTATTTTCACTAGAGAAATTCAATGCTAAATATTTAGTAACAATAGGAGAACACAATTGAATCCTATGAAACTATATTATGTTTCAGAAAGTAAAACCATAATTTATACCAACATGCCTTCACAAATTTTTTCCAAAATTTCAAATAAAATTATCCAAGGTTTACAAAATCCTTATTATACCATACGTTTGTCCCTTAAGATAATGATTCTTGCTTAAATGGTGACACTATGTTTATTGATTATCTTCAGATACAATGACATTGTTAGAGAGACGTTTCAGTTCATTTTCCCGGAAAAAAAATCATGTCATCGACTTAGTATCAGTAATTGTACGGACGGGTTTTACACTGTGTAAGTATCTTAAGTACCGATACCGGGTCAAATAGACATACAGAAACAGGTTATCGTGGTTTATCATCTATTCTGACATCCTCATTTTAAAGGATTTCTTTTATCGCCAAATTTGAACTTAATAAAATTATGATTAAAAACCGAAATATGTTTCTGTTGTGAAATTTTCTCAAAAAAAAAAAAAAAAAAACCACAAGAAAATGCATTTGGAATACATTGTTGAAATCAAGTGTAGGACCTATATATGTGTTGTATATGAATAACAGGAAAATTACATCATTATATGAAAGTGTATCAATTGGCCGATTTGTTATCTCTCCGAAAATCACCGATAAGTCTTGTTAAGACGAAACACGTGTATGATATGTTATTAATGGAATGAACTTGTCATACATATTCGGGGCATCATTGATAATCGGATCTAGTGCTTTTTGCTACGATTTACAAACTTTTTAACTCTTTTTTTTTTTTACATCAAATAGGATGAAAACTGCTATCGGTGTCAGGAACGTGACAAAGAAAGTGATGAAAACAATACAAAGATGTTGTCATTTATACAAGGAAAGAAATAACACATGCGTTAAAGGTATTGGTTTATAATTCAGTCTGTTCTATATAATGACATGTAAGTAACAAGATACACTGTCAGATTTACTATGTTTAACACATAAAGTACAGAATACACTGTCAGATACACAATGTTTAACATATTAAGTACAGGATACACTGTCAGATTCACAATGTTTAACACATTAAGTACAGGATACACTGTCAGATACACAATGTTTAACACATAAAGTACAGTATACACGGTCAGATTCATAATGTTTAACACATTAAGTACAGGATACACTGTCAGATACACAATGTTTAACACATAAAGTACAGAATACACTGTCAGATTCATAATGTTTAACACATTAAATACAGGATACACTGTCAGATTCATAATGTTTAACACATTAAGTACAGGATACACTGTCAGATTCATAATGTTTAACACATTAAGTACAGGATACACTGTCAGATACACAATGTTTAACACATTAAGTACAGGATACACTGTCAGATTCACAATGTTTAACACATTAAGTACAGGATACACTGTCAGATACACAATGTTTAACACATAAAGTACAGTATACACTGTCAGATACACAATGTTTAACACATAAAGTACAGGATACACTGTCAGATACACAATGTTTAACACATAAAGTACAGTATACACTGTCAGATTCATAATGTTTAACACATTAAGTACAGGATACACTGTCAGATACACAATGTTTAACACATAAAGTACAGTATACACGGTCAGATTCATAATGTTTAACACATTAAGTACAGGATACACTGTCAGATACACAATGTTTAACACATTAAGTACAGGATACACTGTCAGATACACAATGTTTAACACATTAAGTACAGGATACACTGTCAGATTCATAATGTTTAACACATTAAGTACAGGATACACTGTCAGATACACAATGTTTAACACATTAAGTACAGGATACACTGTCAGATTCATAATGTTTAACACATTAAGTACAGGATACACTGTCAGATTCACAATGTTTAACACATTAAGTACAGGATACACTGTCAGATTTACTATGTTTAACACATTAAGTACAGGATACACTGTCAGATTTACTATCTTTAACACATTAAGTACAGGATACACTGTCAGATACACAATGTTTAACACATTAAGTACAGGATACACTGTCAGATACACTATGTTTAACACATTAAGTACAGGATACACTGTCAGATTTACTATGTTTAACACATTAAGTACAGGATACACTGTCAGATTTACTATGTTTAACACATTAAGTACAGGATACACTGTCAGATTTACTATCTTTAACACATTAAGTACAGGATACACTGTCAGATACACTATGTTTAACACATTAAGTACAGGATACACTGTCAGATTTACTATGTTTAACACATTAAGTACAGGATACACTGTCAGATACACTATGTTTAACACATTAAGTACAGGATACACTGTCAGATTTATAATGTTTAACACATGAAGTACAGGATACACTGTCAGATTTACTATGTTTAACACATTAAGTACAGGATACACTGTCAGATA